TTCATGACTCGAGTCTGACTCAAGTCCAAGTCACATGACTCGAGTCCACACCTCTGGACTGTTTAGCTTGTTGTCCTTCCCCCGCACCTCTGATTAGCACACTTGGCTACGTACGGTGAGAAATAAATTCAACATAACATTGACTGTACCACAAAGACAAAGATCCCCCACGTAGCCTTAACAGACTGTTGGGGCAAGTGCTGTTAGCGAGTAGCAGCACCTGTGGAGGCCGGCACTGTGGCACACGAGGGGGTCGGTGGCCAGCACCACGCCCGGCCGCCTTTGCCTCCCCAGTGGCGATGTTTACTATACACCGCATCATCTACTCATTTTCGGCTGAGTCGACCTCGGGGAGGCCCAGGACCGGTTCAGATAATCGTCACTGCTGTTGACCGTGAGCTGAAATCGAACTGGTGTCGCTGGGTTCAGAGCGCAGCGCGCTAATCGATGCACCACCGCTCCCCACATTGACAGTACCCACCACCCTCCACCCCCTTTAAACCAGGTCACGCTGCAGGGTTGAGCTGATAAAACCTGGCTCACGAACACACGCAGCTCCCCTAAGCACAAATAAAGGACATTCCTGCCATTCCCAAATCGACCAATGGATAAAGGCCTTCCCAAGCCATGTCAGGAATTTGGGAGCGGTAGGGGGGGGGGTTGAATCAGATTATGTATTTATACCGGAGGAATCCGATGAGTTATAACGCGCTTTTTCACAGATGTCCAGTTGGGGCAGGTCAGAACGACGCAACAAACAATACAAAAACACGATACGAGTGCAAAAAGTATAGGGAATTAAAAAGATTAAACCGTATTTCACCACTCTGGTTCGTGTGGGTTGGTGAATGTGTGTGTAGGGGCAAGGCCAGGGCAGGGCCCGTTGTGATATTATTCGCCACTGATGTTAGCTGCATGTGGCCTGGAATCAAACTCTGGTCGTGGAGGTTTGTCCTGCAGCGCACTGACCGCAGTTGTGCACGAACACATTTATCATCACCGCGCACTTGACTGCTCGTGCTAGCCAACAAAACTTGTTTGTTTCATTAATTCTAGATTTGAAGCTTTCGTGACTGCAATGATTCATATTTAATGTTGGTACCCCTGTCACCGGTTTGCGTCACAAGCCGTACCTCTCCATAACAATGGCTCGGCCTTTGTTATGCAGTCTATTCTTAGTCTTAAGCCTCACCTTACCATATTAATCAAAAGTATGCGGCCCTTGCCCCACCATCTTCTCCAACCATTATATAAACGGAGTGGTGGCTCCTGCGGTCTCTCATTTGCTTGGTGCAGCTGTCGTGGCTGTGGCGGTGCCACCTGAAGACGGAGGCTTGTGTTGCCTCCGAAACGTCGTGATTTTTATTTTATTTTACTTTTTTGTTTGTTTCAATATAAAATGAAACGGCACTTCGAAGAGAGGTGGGTAGTCTGAGCAACTCTGTGAGTCTCTGTGCGAGTTTATGATGGGACGTTGCGTAAGTCTATGAGTGCATTCCAGCACCTGCGTGTGAGTCAACACAATACAATGTGGATTGCAGATCGCATCTTAATGAGACTGCATCTCAAGACTCTGTTCAGAAACAGCGGGTTTATTCCGGACGGAGAGTGGCAGTCAGAGGAAGAGGGGGGGGGGGGAGGCCCAGCGAAGGTATTGCGCCTTGAACGTGAACAGGGAGGGGCAGAGTCAACATTACGTGTGGCTGTGAGAGTTCCAGACAATTAGAACAGCGGAGAAGAATAGGCGACCACCCACCAAGCGAACGTTCACCAAAGGGGCTCCAACACAAAGGCTGGAGCGGCGAGTGGGGGGTGTGGGGGCCACTCTCTACTCAAGCAACCGCCCCCCCCACTCCCCTCTGAAATCATTAAACCATCGAACAAAGGGGGTCACTGCATCGCGCGCTTTCAGATGCGCTTCTGCGGCCGTCTGGAAGAACGCTCTTCCTTCTGATATTGGGAAGCCACAGTCTGGATTGAAAACTCGTTTCTTTAGAACCAATTTTTGTGTTTAGTTTGTTTGTCCTTCCCCCGCACCTCCGATTAGCACGGTTGGGGGCCGTCCATAAATGACGTCACGCACATAGGGGGGGGGGGATCAGACATTGTTGACGATTTGTGACGAGGGGGGAGGGGTTTGAGAAATGCGACGTCACATAAAAATGCGCAACTTTAAATAAATATAGAAACACGTTCTACTTAATTAAATAGACTTTTAAATTCATGTTTTCTCCTACAATATCAGAGTGCAGCGCCACATTAAATACGCACTACAATGACAATAGTTTAAAGCGATTTGAAGCATGTTTTATTTGGGGGGGGCAGACCTTTGTGACGTCATATTTGAGGAGGGGTCTGACTTTTTGTGACGCCGTGTGACGAGGGGGGGGGGGTGAAAAATCGTCAAAAATCGCGTGACGTCATTTATGGACGGCCCCTTGGCTATGTACGGCGCGAAAGAGGTTCAACATATAGTACATATACAAGATGTTTTCACGAACCACTGGACTGTTATGGATTTTTTTTGCATAAATAACAAATGATGACGTCGATTTTATGCTTTCGAATAATATACAGTACTTGTAATGCAAATTTAATGCAATTAAGTTCGTTGCTTGGTGAGATTTGGTCCCCTCTCGTGGGGTGCCCTGTAAGAGGATAAAATGTATCCGCGACAGAATAAATATTAAATTATGTTTAACGTTTTAGGCCCATGCATGGAGTAATTGGGCGTGGCGTTGCCCATATAAGGAATAACGGAACGGGAATCGACCGATCGAGCACGGATCAAGCAGTGTTCGAGCTATGACATTTTGAGTATGTTGGTCAATGTCAGGGGTGGGGAACGTCCGGCCCGCGGGCCGTATAAGGCCTGCGAAATCATTTGGTCTGGCCCTGCCAAGGCAACCACAGGCGGCATTCGAAATTCAATAAATCTAGGAGCAAACCTGGAAAAGCAGTTGGAGTAGCAACATCATCAATACCAGCTAACATCACACGCCTCGCCAAAGAGAAGCAGTTCCAGCCATCACATTAGGGGTGAGTTAATTAAATGTTTGACCAAATATAACAGGCTCATTTCTAAGTTGAGAATTTTGTATGGCCCATGAATGATGTTATAAATATCCAAATGGCCCTGGGCAGAAAAAAGTTCCCCACCCCTGGTCTATGTGATCGAGCATGGATCAAGCATGGATGGAGCTGTGAAAGTTGGAGTGCACATTATTAAACTGATTCCTGTCACGTAATTTCTGGATGGAAACCGACTATTTGTGGATCGCACATAATTTATGGATCTATTAGGCCACCCCTTGACGCTGATTGGCTTCCTTTAGCATTAATATAATGCATCATTCATTTTGTCGCGGATTGATTTTATCCTGTTTCAGCGTGCTCACTGCCAGGGCACGTGCAGTGCTGGAGATATCAGCCCCCCGTGTCACACGAGGACGCCGCAAGCTGTTGTGACCAGGTCGCTTCTGAAAAAGAAGCTAATAGCTCAGTGGGTTTTACATGGTAAAATAAAAAATAGTTCATTTGTATTTATAGGCAGTGATTTATAACCCACAATAGAGTTTTTTGGGGTTAGATCGCGTAAATATATTAATGTGTCGTTAAAACCCGCTAACCACCCGACACAACCAACTAGTAAGGGTTGTCACGTAAACAGAACATGCCAATTCGTCACTCGTACAGCAGGCTGTGTCGGGTCGTGGCGAGTTTTAACGACACATTCACGATCTAACCCAAAAAACCTATATTATAGATATTGGTCGCGAAAGCCTACGTGTTATACAGTCAGTGATTTGTTTATCTTTCCTATACTTTGCACTGCGATTGTGTTTTTGTATTGTTACTTTCTGACACGACCCTACTGGACATGTGAACTAAACATTCTGATTCTGAATGTTCATTTTCTACCAAAACAGCCTTACTATCATCACTACCATCATTACTTGTTCACCAGTCTGTCCGTCCTCTCTCCGCGTCTGCTGGCTGGCAGATGAATGCAATCCACGGTGCAAGGATGAAGACAACTGGGGTTTTTCAAGCGTGCGCGATGTTGAGCGAATAGGCTGTCAGGAGGTCCTCCTCTGGAGGCCACGTGACCATCAAACCCACCATTATCACCACTATCATCAAAACCACGATCATCAAACCTACCATTATCACCACTATCATCAAGACGACCATCATCGCCACCAATACCATCATCAACACTACCATCAAAATCATTATCAACCACACTCCCATAAAACCCAGCATGACAATTTGAAACTTGAAGCCACTGCCATCAAAATGTTCTTGTAATTATATCTAAAACCATCATTAAAACCATCAAACTATCATCATTGTCACTGTTGTTCATGTTGAATGTCACTTCTAGCCCTTCACCTCGCCAGCTCAAATTCGTACGGTCCTCCCTCTTTGTCGGCGCCGCTGAGCTAATGGTATAAATTCCACATTCCCATACAAAGCACAAGCAATAATTACTTCTCGCAAAGTGATCTACATTTTATCGACCTTGGAGGGATGGTGATAATGATGGGGCTGCATCTTGAATGCGAGTGTGACTTCAGCGCCACTGGGGTGTGATCAATACCAACACAATCATCATTTTCTCAGTCCGGTTGCTAAATTTCGAAACCGATTCGTCTTTTGAGCTGGTTACTTTCAGGGGTCTGTCCATGGACCCTGGCCACTCCTCTCCCACCGGCCACGTGGCTAGTGAGGTGGGGGAGGGGGACCTGCCTTGCACCCACGTGATCGCGGTACCACCCAGAGCCAGGCGCTGCGGTGACGTCACGCACGAGGCGGCGTAACCGGGCAGTGTAAACACATCGTGACGTCATCGCAATGCGGATTACCTCACTCCGTCGACGATGACGTAGACGGGGCGCGCGCCGAGGCCCTGAGTATGCGCATATGTAAATAGACTGTACCATTACCAACGCGAGAGGAGGGGGGGGTGTAGGTGAGATGTTCTTGAAATTTACATTTTTGACATTTTATACAAATGCCAATTAAAGTTGCCGTGAAGCTAAATGTACGCCTATTAAAGCAATCTTACTTATTCGTAGGTGTTGCTTTAATTCGCGTGGGAAGGCGGGCACAATTTGACAACGCCGGCGTGCTGAGTTGATGTCGTCCCCCCCCCCCTCTGCCTGGACGGGAGTTAGCTCAGCCCCGCCATTTTCCGCGGGGCCAAGGGGGGACGTGGGGACGCGGCTCGGCCCGGCTCACTCAGCCTGCGGGGCCCGAGCGGGTCGCACGGCATGCGGGGAAAGAGGTGAGGAGGATACGACGACGAGGTTAGGCGGTGGCACTGAAGGAGGGAGAAAGAATGAGGACAGAGACAGGAGGAGGAGGAGGATGATGATGAGGGTTGCGCGCGCGGGGCTGAGTGGCTGGGTTCCGTTTCGGAGTCTCCTCTCCGTGTCTCCGTGCGTCTGAACTCCCGTGTCTCCACGCCTCTCTCTCTATCAGCCTGCTGGTTATATTATAATATATTAATCTCGCGGTTCGTGTCCCGTATATCTTGTGCCTGTGTGTGGTCCCTCTCGTCCGTGTCTGTGTGTATCTGTTCGACACTTCACGTGGCCTCAAGGTGCACATGGCCTGGCACAAGCGTCGTGGTGACGTCACCGCCACTTAGTGGCGAATGGCGGTTGTTGTTGTTGGTGTGTATCTTGTGTGTGTCTACCTGGTCTTGTCTCGTGTCCGTGTTTCGCTGGCCTGTGTCGTGTTTCTCCTGTCTCTGTGTTGTCTGTTGTTGACTTTGTGTCTCTGTGTGGCATGCCTGTCGTGTTATGTGTCTGTGTCTCTGGCCTGGTTGTCTTGGTTCCTCATTATTGTGTCTCTGATTTTCGTTTGTGTCTTGTCCACGTCTTTCTCCTGTGTCTTTGTTTTCTGTCTAGTGCCGTGTTCTCGCTTTCGTCTCTTGCCCTGCCCGTGTTTGTCTTGTGTATCTGCGCATTCCAGAATATGTATTTATACCGGAGGAATCCGATGAGCTACAAAGCTCTTTTTCACAGATGTCCAGTTTCACAGATGTCCCGCTCTGCCTCGTCTCACGTGTCTACGCGTGGAACCACAGTACCTGGCTCTGTGTCTGTTCGGATGTTGAACCTTTTTCGCACCGTACGTAGCCACAACAGTGCTTAATTGGGTGGTTCTAATATCCCGCGTGACCTGTCTTGGTGTTTTGCGCTTCTGTGTCTTCGTGGACACCCATAGCCTTCACTGAATGCCCACTGTTCTACATGCCCCCCCCGTAATTCGTGTGAGTGTCCCTAATTGTCTTAGGTCCACCTTTGCCCGTCTCTTCCACGCCTTGTCTCGCCTGCGGGGGGTTTGTAACGAACCCCCTCGCCCACAAAGCAAAGTGCGCGCTGGAAGCATTGACGACTCAAAAGTCTCACATTTCGCCACCCACGCACCGCCCCCTCTCTTCCCTCTCCAACTTGACGGGCTGACTAGGTGGATGATGATGGAGGAGGAGGAGGAGGAGGAGGATGAGGCCCTGGGATATAATCCTGTGCCCCTTGCGTGTCATGTTTAAGAAATTCAGTCCTCTGCTCGATGAAGGCCTCAACCAACGCATTTCAGTCGGGGGAGTTATTTTGACCATACTTGGTGTGACCTGGCTTAGGGGATGGGGTCCTAGGGACCGTTCCACTAACGCTGGTCGTAGCCGGGATTCAAACTCGGGTGGGTGGGTTCGAAGCGCAGTCCGCCAACTGTCGCAGCACCGCTGTTTAATCTTTGTGTTTTTATTAATGTCGCAGATGTCCATCCGTCTCTGGAGGAGCCTCAAAGGTCACGTCCTTCTAGGCTGGTCACGTGGCCTCCAGAGGAGGACCTCCTGACAGCCTCTTCGCTCAACATCGCGCACGCTTGAAAAACCCCAGTTGTCTTCATCCTTTCAGTGTGGATTGCATTCATCTGCCAGCCAGCAGACGGGGAGAGAGGACGGACAGACTGGTGAACAAGTGAACTACCTGGCTGACAGACTGACTGTCCGATTGACAGACACCACCGCGGCCATGGCGACCTCGTCGATGCGGCGACAGATGAAGAACATCGTGAACAAGTACTCGGAGGCGGAGGTGAAGGTGCGCGAGGCAACGTCCAACGACGCGTGGGGGCCCTCGACGTCGCTCATGTCCGAGATCGCCGACCTGAGCTACAATGTGATCGCCTTCCCCGAGATCATGTCCATGGTGTGGAAACGGCTTAACGACCACGGCAAGAACTGGCGCCACGTCTACAAGGCGCTCACGCTGCTCGACTACCTGGTGAAGACAGGCTCGGAGCGCGTGGCCCAGCAGTGCCGCGAGAACATCTTCGCCATCCAGACGCTCAAGGACTTCCAGTATGTAGACCGCGACGGCAAGGACCAGGGTGTGAACGTGCGCGAGCGCGCCAAGCATCTCGTCGGCTTGCTCAAGGTACGTGTGCATGGTAGAAGCGTGAGCCGTGGTGTGGCTCCCGATGTCGTTGAAATAACGGTGAAAGTTTATTAATTGCCTACCCCCCCACCCCGCAACTTGTCCACCCAGCAGCGTAAATGTATACACCACAGTGAATCGATCGGCAGGTCGAGTGTGGTGGGGTAAAGTGTGGGTACTCGCATCTCTTCCAAGACGTCTGTAGGTCAAAATAATACCCTCGAGTGGAGGCTGTTCCTCAGGCAGTGGCGTGAGGAAGTAATTACCTTTTACCACCTAGACCGGTCATTTGGGTTTTGGAACATGCAAACGGCAAAGGGGTTTGTTAAAGGCTCTGCTATGTTGTCACTGACCAGGGCTGGCCATTGTAAACCAAATCCCAAATAAGACAATTGCAGGCCTGCCACTGTGGCACATGCTTGTGAGCCAGCACCTTGCATTGGAAGCGAGGGGTTTGCGGGTCGCGCAGAGATTTGTGAATCGCACAAAGCCGCTCGGTAGAAGGAAGAGAGCGGGTTCGTGACCCATCCATGTGGACCTTGGGAGCGTTATCTCCTTCGTACCCTTGGTGAGTTATCTGCAGCTACTCTTGTTTCCTAAAACACAAAGCTAAACACTCCTAAAATTGAAAAAAAATATTTGATTTGGGTAATTTTTTAACTCGACAGATTGGGCAATGGATTTTTTTTTGTATGGGTTGCTCTGTTAACGCTATACATGAGAAATTGTCTGGAGTGTAAAGTAATTGGCCATACATCCCAATGCAGGCCTATCCTTAAACGTCTTGAGACTTTCCTTGGCAAGTAAACAATGCTAGTATGCCCATTGTTTTATCACATCGCTTAATTAGAAGTCAGAGGCGAGGGTGTGGGCCTGCAATTGCGTTCTCACGCCACTGCTGGCAGAAGGGAGCTCTGGAGAGGAACCAGAGTATTTTAGTTTACTCTTCCTCGATGGCCAGACATCTTGGAAAATGGGGGCAAGTAACCCACACTTTACCCCACATGACCAACCTATCCACTCACCATGTTGGTGTTACCCGTTTATACTGCTGGGTGGAGGGAGTTGAGGCTTGTGAGGGACATTTTGCGCCACTGTTTAAGCTACCGCGTTCGGAAGTGGAATGGAACCGGCAACCGCTGGATTGCAAGTTCGGTGTGCTGACCGTTACGTCGTGGCAGCATCAATGACATGGGTGAGATCCTGCACGTGTCTTCACAAGCCAGAACTTAGATTTTTACACCATTGCCAAATGTAACAACGATAATTTTAGCATATTTTTGTATTCGTACCATTCTTATATCGGCAAGGCCGTCACGTCTGTTTACACAGACGTCATACGCAGTCGTTTCACAGTAAGGGGAGGCAATCTTGCTTTCTATGGTCCAAGTTGAGTAATTTGCAGGTACGTTTTTCAAAGTTGCTCAATTTTGTTCTGTGACACCGGCAACATAACGGCCTCCTCGTTACGAATGACGTCGAGGGGGATCTTTAACGTCCACTGTTGAAGCAGGCGGCGCGTTGTATCTGACGGTTAATACAAACCACAATAATACCCAGGGCGGCCTTCCAGATTCGAACCGCGAGCCTCCGCAACAGGTCGCGAATGTTGCACCGCTGGGGCCCGTGTCCACCGTACAAAAGACGTTACACTGTGTTTGCTGGATAAGATGATTCCTAACGGTGCACATTCTCGGGGTGGGGAAGGGGGGAGAAAGCATACGTTGCGTGCCCAATTTGTTGAAGGATCCTTCAGTTCAGGAATGTGTTGTTGCGCCAGAGCAGGAATGGGCACTGCGGAAGGTAGAAACAACTTTGGCTTAGCCATTACATTTTTATAGCCAATAAATACAAATAAATGGGGGTGGAGTGGCTCTGGGGTGGTTGGCCTGCTGGGCTCTGAACTTGGCGATCTGTGTCCGATTCGTGGCCACGGCTGGTATCAGTGGCAATTGCCCTCCTGTGTGCGACTGCGGTTACAAAACTTTAATGGATGAACCAACATAACTTTGCACTACCCCAAATATAGAAGGTGGTGAGTGAGTGTATCAGCAATTTGTCAACTCTCACACGAAAGCAATAGAATGGCTAAATCTCTGACCACTGAATCTATAATCGTTGCTCTTCATAGGCCATACTAAACAAAGTGGCGTATGATATTAGAACCGGTCCTGGGCTCACCCCCCCCCCCCCCTCCTGATGTATGTTCAAATTACCCCCGATACTGGCATGGCACATGGGGAAACATTCAACTAACAGTTGATTGACAACGGTTATGCAACCTTTTCAGTTGTTGTGGTGTCAATATATCATCTTTGGCTATGGACTTAATTTTGCCCCTCAGATGTTGACATTGTTTTGGCTAGCGGGCGTTTCTCTGTAGTTGCACCAGCAGCCATCTGCTCTCTCCCACTGCACACACGCAGCATCCAGGCACCATCCACCTTCAAGAGACAGCTCAAGGCTCTCACCTGGTTCAGGCTCTCATCTGTTCATTCTCTCAACTGATTCGGGCTCTCACCTGGATGCAGGCTCTCACCTGCTTCAAGCACTCAACTGTTTCATGCCGGCATATGAAGGACTTTGAGTTCTGGCTCCGCGCCGCCAGATTTTTCGATGGAACATTGCGTTCGATTCATGAAACATGTACGCGTTATAATTTTTATTATTATTATTGTAATCAGCAAATGAAACGGCCGCGGTCTGGGTCTTGCTCTTGAAACTGTGATGATCTCATCAGCATCTGTGCTGTGTTAAATTTGGTGCCTGTCTGTCAAACGGTTCCATGTAAAGTTGGAGAAAGTGTCTTTAGATTATTTGGCTACTATGAATTTCCACACGATAATCCACTCCGTTGAGCTATCATTTGTTTGCGAGGTTGCTTCTGAAAAAAAGAGCTGTATAGCTCAGTGGGCCTTACTTGGTCAAATAAATTAGTTAAAATAGTTCTATAGTTTAAGTTACCGTTCACACTCAAACGCGCAAAAGGGGCAGTACTCTCATCTCGATCAGTGGAATTGAGCCAGTGGTGGAATTCTAATTTGCTATAGTGAGTTCCAGTGAAGTATATTTGTAGGCTAACCATCGTTGGCTTAACTGAAAGTGGTAAGCCATTTATGTTTCTCAGATGTATGAGGAGGGGAATGAGAATGATGATGGTAATAGATGTAGATGTTGTGTGTGATCACAAGCCTCTGTCTCAAGGAAGGACCTGGCGTATAACAAAACCGCAAACAAATTCTAACACAGTAAGCAAGCAATCTTTCAGCAATCGATCGATCGAGTTGACCCGTGACCGGAATTCTAACCCACGACCTTTCCGCCATGGAGGAAGGCTGGTCCTCCGAGTACTGAGCCACCCAGCCCGAGCAGATTCATTGCCCCTAAACTCCACAGCAGCGTTCGACAAAACCTCTCAGCCGAGTTAATTTTCCGTCATTAACATCATTATGGGACATTATCTTGGGATTAAGTGTTGGGCCATTGGGTTTGGCTATTTTTTTGCGGTTGCGTACGTGCGTGTGTACGCGTGTGATTAGGCCACCGAAGGACACCCTCGGTGGTGTGTCGCTTCCAGCTCCCGCGTTGCACACAGGTATCCCGTGGCATGTGGATCAGATGGATTTGTATCGGATCCTCACCTTGGCGGTGGCGCCTATGCAGATGGTGACACCTCCGTGCCCTCCAGCCACAGAGAACCTGCAATTTTAACCCTTGAATGTTACACTCACTCTGGCGTAGTGATTGGAAATGCTATACTATGCCATGTCGTTCTAAAGCTAAACTATTACTTATACTATACAATACTTGAAAATATGAATTGATGCCACCTTGATTTTTGCCACCTTATATCTTTATAGTGTTATACAGACTATTCAACACTTACTATATACTAAAATGCGATATTCAGCATTATCCAAGTCAGTACTCGATTATCCAATGTTTAAAAATACTTTTGATTTATAACCCATAATAGAGGTTTTTGGGTTAGATCACGGCACATACGCGATCTAACCCAAAAACCTCTTATGGATGATATTGGTCGCGAAAGCCTACGTGCTACTAGTTGATTTGATGCAATCACACCATACCATACAAACCATTCAAAACGACACTACAATGCCATTCAATAATATTTTATTGTTGTTCATTAATATTACGCTACCATTCAGTAATATACAGGGTGTTTAAGAAAGTTAACCCGTAAAAACAAAGTTTTTCACTATAAATCCTTTATATGCGTGGCGGCTAGAGTCCTCTCGTCCTCTGGCTTGAGATGGCTGCCACCTATGGGTCAGATGATTGTCTGCCACCATTAAGCAATTGATAATTAAATATTTAATTTGTTTTCCCTAAACAGTGTAAAATTTTGGATTTTTTTTCACGAAAATTAATTGTCACACACAACGAGTCTGTGTGGAAAATGTCAGCTCGATTGGATCACGGGAAGTGGGTTAAAAAACGAGCGAAAGATTTGCACGGTCCTAAGCAAGCAAGCACGCAAGCAAGCAAGCACGCAAGCACGCAAGCAAGCACGCGAACTTAATATAAAGAATTTAAAAAGACGGACCCAATTCAAAATCGCGATATCTCTGCAACCACAAACCGCCCATGAATGTAACTCTTACCACTTGAAAGGGTGGGGCATAGAGAGGGCGGGGCATAGAGAGGGCGGGGCATAGAGCTTCAAATGATTACCATGAGATGCCTCTCCCAGCGCACAAACAGCCCCTAGCCTCAGTCATTCGCTCGACACACGCCGCCTCAATGTTGAATAGGTCGCACGGGACCCCAAGACTTGGCGCTACACTCTTGGCCCCCAAGATCCCCAGACATCACACCCTGCGACTTTTTCTTGTGGGGATACGTCAAAGATCGTGTTTTTGTGCCACCATTAGCGACTAATCTGGATAACCTCAAAACAGAATCACGGCAGCGGTGACTTCAGTGAAAGAATACACTTTGAGAGGCGTTTGGGACTAATTCACCTATCGTCTCGATGTTGTCCGTACAGCAGGTGGAGGGACACATATAGAGCATTTATAAAATGGTTAGTAAAACTTGATAACTCATTAAACTGTTCGTAACTTTTTGTGTAATTGTAACATGTTGCCATCGTGAAATATACTGCTTTGAAATGGGCTCCATCTTTTTCGCACACCCTGTATAATTAATTGCAATGCTGTGCAGTACCTTACTCTCTGATGCAATGTGATCACGTACAGTAAGCACAATACAAACTATTCGTCGCAACACAAATTAACACACCGGTTTTCATTACAAGAGGGTGGATTACCTGACGGGACTATTTGATGTAATGCTTTACCGTAGTGTGCACACAATGCAACGTGAGGGTATTGAATATCAATGGCTATTCAAGATTACACTATCAGGATGTCAGAGTGTATCCCTGCTCAACTGAATGTGGATTGGTGTTCATCTCCAATTACGCCCCTTAGTCCGGTGGTGTAAATTCCACATTCTCATGGCAGGTGCCAGTCGCACCATAAGATGACCGCAGTTGACTCACTAAATTGCTGTTCATTTTATCAATAATTTCTTTGACGAGGGTCCTGCCAGGTTTTAGCAGAAGGGGGAGAAGTTTCTGCTGTGTGTGATCCCAATTGACTAATTTGCAGGTAATTTTTCAGCATTGTGACTTTTGGTTAAGTTCCAGTCAGCATTGTATGGGGTTTAAGCTATCGGACAGAATTTGGAGAAAGTCGAAGGAAACCCATGCAGAACAAGGGGAGAACAAAAAAATGCCACACCAAAGCACCTGGGTCAGGATCAGAATCTTTATTTAGACTGCAGGAGGAATCCGATGAGCTATGTACAGTATGGGTGGGTTGGCAAGTTACAACAACAACCAGTGCAAAAAAAAAAGAGAAATTTAAATGTGTAATTAATGAAGTCCAAACCCAGGCCCTTCTTGGTGCGAGGCACAAGCATTACCACTCTGCTGCCACCTGCCCACCCAATGATAATGATGAAAATGTTGACAGCGCGATCCTTTAACCAGGATTTGAACTCGCAACCTCAATGCCAGCCGGTCACCGTAAGACAGTTGACAACAACACAGTGCAATGCAGGCAGTCCTCGACTTACGAACGGGTCCTGGCTACCGTGGGTCGGGATACGGGTCCCCCGGGTAGAGAGCGAGGCTGTAGCAGACACTGAGCCCCGAGTCGTCGGGGGTTCGTTTCACGTCCCAGTTGCTTGTGCGGTTGTGGAACAATTCCCCAGAGTGCGCCGGCTTGGCTCTAAAAGTGGACGTTAAAGAGCCCGTCGCGTGGTTCGCTGGAGCTAGTTGTCGTGCGCCTGCGTCACAAATCAAATCCCGTCGTCAAAATTTTCAAAGTTATCCCCTCCCCCAAGGGAGATGGCGAGTAAATGCTGTCTGCATTAATGTTGAACGTCGTCACGGTAAGTGCTGTGGTGATGCCCGCACGCTCTGCCATCGATCGCTAGAGTCTGCCAGACAACTATTGCGCACTTCTCGAGATCTGTGGCATATATCATCGTAATCGCTATCATCAGTCCTTTAGCCGTCGGGCGTTATGGGGGTTGCGAGTGATGCTTTGTAAATTACCTCTCTCCACCTCTTTGTGTATCATACAGTGTCTTGAATTATTTTCGGCTCTTTATTATAATAATAGTAATTGGTACGGTTCGGTATTGACGCTATTGTTCGCAAGGCTATCGCGAGGGAAGGCGGCTGCTGTGTTCCATGGACACAGACTCTTCGCACCTTCGATTTAGCATGATTGGCTGCGTACAGTGCGAAAGAAGTTCAACAGTCATTCACACAGACTGCATTCGTGTCTCAGTAGGGCGATGCGAAGTTGCTACACGTAATCCCAATTTGAGTAACTTGCGGTCAAATCTGCCAAATGTGGAGAATGACGCTGGTGCACGATGCGTGGCGAACCTCTGCAACAAGTGGCGGACGGCGCTGCCACTACTGAGCCGTGTCGGAGTGCGCTTGAACGTAATGCCGTCTCGGGAATCTCTGTTCCAGTTCCGAGAGTATGGAGGCCGTGAACGACTATGACCGAATCGGCCAGAATAATCCAGATCTGGTCAGATCTCGGAAGCCAATCGGAGTTTATTGTATGTATGTCGAACTTCTTTCGCACCGTACTTAGCCGACCGTGCTCATCGGAGATGCGGAGGAAGGACAACAAAGTAAACGGGAAAAGCTATCAATTCCGGTTCAGTAATTCTGCACGTGCTCTATTACCATAGTACTATACTGCCTTCAACTTTTATGAACGACTGGGTGTTTAAGTTAGCGATTTGTTGTATTATCTGGCTGTATAGCAAATGAAATAATACAATTACTTTACTTTGCAAGTTAAACATTTATGTGCTTTAATATTTACATGTTTTTTTTAGGACCCCTTTACAATATTTGCTACAGGCCTCGCACTAGCTTAATCCGGCACTGGTGACTGCTATGCGCAGACAGGTGTTGTTGGCAATTCAATTGTTGTCCTGTATTTTCTATGCTCCAGTGACTATTTCCATATTCTATTTTACCAGGCAAGGCCCACTGAGCTGTAGAGCTCTATTTTTCAGAAGCGACCTGGCAAACAAATGATGGCTCAATGAAGTGGCTTGTCATGTGGAAATTTATTGCAGCCAAACATTCTCAATGCATGTTTCTGAATGTGGAGGGAAAATCCGGAGGACCCAGAGAAACATCTACGCGACCACGGGGAGGGAAACATGGAAACTGCAAATATACAGCAGGCGTCAGGGTTCAGATAAAAACCAGGACCTCCTCCATACCAGGCGAGGTAGTTAACATCTCGCTACCACGGCGCCTTCCCCAATTGACACTGACACAACATGGGGAGGCCGTCATCCAGCAATGGATTGACAGAGGGCTGTGCGAGGTAGGGTCACACAAGGAGACCCGTGTTTGCCCAGGTGCCCCACCCCCCCACTCCCCCACCCCCCCGGGGTAACAAGATGTGCTGAAAGGGAGAGAGATAAACATGGCAACAGCTTGGACAAGAGCCTAACGAGGCCAAACATTTCCGTTACAAGGGGGACCTCGACATTGATGAACTGGGGGATTTACTCGTGGTTTATCATTATTGATGGAGGAGTAGTCCGTTGTTCGGGAGATTGATCGATTGATCGGTTGGTAGATAGATTATTGATTGCCTGTAAACATCCGGCATTGAATCAGCTTTTATTCAAGCGAGCCTGACTGCTGATGAGGCGTTGAATATCGAAACCAGTCTCGTGTTTGCTTTGTCTTGATCCACTGCTGCTGGTGAGATGCACCCTTTCCCCCAGAAGGCCATGTGGCTGGTCAGTGGTGTAATAAATATCGCTGTGCAGCAGTAACGCTGTGCATCTGTGTGGCTGTGTAGCCGTACCACTGTGTGGCTGTATTGCCGTATTGACGGACTGCCCCTCCCATTGGCTGCCCCGTCAGGACGACGATCGGTTGAGGTCGGAGCGAGACCAAGCGCTCAAGACCAAGGAGCGGCTCGCGCAGTCGGTGATGGGGATCGGCAGCGGCGGCGAGCGCGTGACGGCGCACAACGGCGCGCACGCTCACCCGCACGTGCCGGCTCAGCCGCACCTCGCCCACGGCGCACCACAGCCTCACCTCGCTCACACGACCCGCTCGCGCCCCGGCAGCCACACCGTGGGTACGCGTCGCACCACACCACACCGTGGTTACCCACCACAGACACCGTGGGTACGCGTCGCACCACACCACACCGTGGTTACCCACCACAGACACCGTGGGTACGCGTCGCACCACACCACACCGTGGGTACCCGCCACAGACACCGTGGGTACCCACCACAGACACCGTGGGTACCCACCACAGACACCGTGGGTACGCGCCATGCACCCCGTGGGTACGCACCGCAAATAACGTGGGTACCCGCCACAGACACCGTGAGTACGCACCATGCACCCCGTGGGTACGCACCACAAATAACGTGGGTACCCGCCACAGACACCGTGGGTACGCACCATGCACCCCGTGGGTACGCACCACAAATAACGTGGGTACCCACCACAGACACCGTGGGTACGCATCATACACCCCGTGGGTACGCACCACAAATAACGTGGGTACCCGCCACAGACACCGTGAGTACGCACCATGCACCCCGTGGGTACGCACCATGCACCCCGTGGGTACGCACCACAAATAACGTGGGTACCCACCACAGACACCGTGGGTACGCATCATACACCGTTGGCACACATTATTGACGAATGTGTTGAGTTTGTATTAATAGCCATTTTAATCAGTGCTCTATATAAAAGCCAGGTGTAAGCCCAAGGGAGGCCTTGGTCACAGAATCATTAGATTGCACATATTGAACAGCATACGGGAGAGAAACCCCACGAATAAATAGAAAACGTTAAGTAGTTCGGTGATTAAACTTGAACATCGCACTTAAAGGCTTTAAGGAGGACAGCAAATGGAATGAATGAAGTGCATGGATTCTGACAGATGCAGCGATCATCGACGTAAAGAGTAACCGAGTAAAATCTATGCCTGCACTCGCCCGTACATGTGCATCGAACCGCGTGTTGGAGGATTGGTCATGAACAATCAATGCAAATGATATGCTAATGAGCGTTTAGCAATAATACATAATAAGAATGTATATATGTATGTTGAACTTCTTTCGCACTGCATGTAGCCAACCGTACTAATTGGAGGTGCGAAATAGACAAGGCTGGAAAAATATCAACGAGACAAAAAATATTTCTCAAATTAAATAGTAACCACCCCCCCTCCCCCCCCCCCTCCGGAATCGAATACAGCATGAATCGAATCATGTAGCAATCGATTGATATTTACCCTGGGAGTCACGATTCGGAGTCTTAAGTCCCGTTTTTAATGGAGGACCGCCCCTATAAGGAATATAGCATCTATAGTGGGAGTGGATCTGTAGAATCTGTAGTTGCGTGAATCGAGAATTTGTACCCGGGTGCCGGCTCAGTGGTAAAGCGAGCCGCTCGTAATCGGAATGTTGCGAGTTCAATTCCTGGTTGGAGGGCTGAGTGGGCCCATCATCCCACGGGGCGCCATGGTGGCAAGATGTTGACTACCTCGCCTGGTGTACAAGAGGTCGTGCGTTCAATCCCGACCCTGACGCCTCTATATTTGGAGTTTGCATGTTCTCCCCATGGTTGTGTGGATTTCGGCTGCTATAAATTTACACGTGATAAGCCACTTCGTTGGGCTATCATTTGTGACCAGGTCCCATCTGAAAAAAGAGCTCAATAGCTCAGTGGCCCTTACCTGGTAACATAAAAATTGTTGAGTTCAATCCCTCCAGGGTCGATGAAGTGGTTGCCCTATGGAGAGACTCGCCCCACGCAATGCGAATGTGAAATTTCCACCACTACTGGCTCTTTCAAGCTAAACGAAAGAGAACATATGAATCGAGTGCCTCCCGTTATTGGAACATGGAATTTCCACCACTGGCTCTTGGCAACCAACAATTAAAAAAAAATAAACATTTATAGAAGTCGCTCCCGTCATGGTAATAAGGAATTTCCACCGCTGGCTCTTATCAGCAGGTAATCGCTTCCTGACTTTTATTTGTCAGTGTCACAAAAACTAAACCCACCAATCGGCGGTAATCTAACCACGCATCACGCGTGCACGATCCGGCGCACATGTCGCGAGCGTGACGGTTTACGTTCGCAAGAGTCGTCCACTGAAGAGCAGATTCGTGGCTCAAGTTCTTATCTCATCCCCGACTCCACTGCCCACTCAACACCTCTCAGCCCCGCACTCCGCACCGGGGCTCTCCAGGCCACGAGCCACTGATGATAACTCGGGAGCTCGGCGCGTTCGCTCCGCTCATCGCCAGACTCCGGGATCGGCCAATATCTGACGGTTGCTCGTGCAGCAGAGATGTCGGCGGTGCCTCCGCCCCCCTCTTCGCCCCCCTCTCTGTCCCCGTGGTTTTGCAAGCGGCTGCTCGCCTGTCTATTGCGGCGACGGGCGAGTAAATGACGGCAGTGGGTCGGGTGAGATTGGCGGGGCGAGCAGACGGTGAGAGCGAAATCTATCGCGAATGGCCTTGCGCAAGGCCGGCGGCCGCTACAGACAAGCCCCGTGGCTCCCGGATTCTTGTGGCTGAGCTGTCACTCCTTATTTAACCGGAAGGAGCGCCCGCCGAGACTCGTTGTCACCTGCGATGTCCACTGTTCAACCAGGAGGAGGGAGTCCATCGAGATTCATTGACTCTCCGTGTCTTCGAGTCGGAGAACAGCCCACCGAGAATTCACTGTCATCGCCTGTCATGTCCCTTATTAAAAGCCTGTTGAGATTAAGTACCGCCTGTGATTGATTGGGGTGCGTTGTTTAGCCAGAAGAGAGTCCATTGACGATTCGTTACCTCTTGTAAATTGGCATCTTTTATTTTCACCGGGAGAGAGCGAGAGAGACCAAATTGACTTTAGTTGTCGCATCGTGTCCCGAGCCAGTGGGGGTGCCCACTCAGACTCGGTGTCACCTGTCATGTGCTTTATTTCGATGGGGAGAGAGCCAGGAGAGAGCCACAAGTGAGCCTGTTAAGGCTCATTGACTCTTTATGTCCTTCATTTAATAAGAGAGACCACTTCCGACCCATCACCTGTGACATCATTTATTTAGCCAGGAAAGAGCCTATGGGGTCTAACAATATCTTCTTTTCAAGCTGAAAGCCCACTCAAGATTCCTTGTCACCTGTGACCAACAACAATACATCTGGTTGTCCTTCCCCCGCACCTCTTGATTAGCACGGTTGGCTACGTATGGTGCGAAAGAAGTTCAACGCACATGCATACAATTTGTTCCAGCAAACCATATGTTTAGTGTTTGCTTGCGGGGCCACGTGACCGCCAATCTCTATCTGTAATGTATCTCTCATCTCGCCATTCTGTATCTCTGCTTATATCAGCGAGCCATATCCCTTGGTGGTCAACAGCTTCGCGAGCCACTCGCAAGAGCATTTGTGGACCACTTTGGCCCGTGGGTCCGCAAGCCAAATGAAGAAACCTAGTTGCACACCGCGTGTCCGTGCATCTCGACGCCCAGACTCCGAGTGACTTTCACTGCTCCCCCCGCCCCCTCTGCCTCCGCGGTGGCGCAGGTGGCACCCTGATGTCGCCCCCTCCGCCCGACCTGGACCAAGTGCGGCCCAGGAACACGGGCGAGGAGGAGCTGCAGCTGCAGCTGGCGCTGGCCATGAGCAAGGAGGAGGCCGAGCAGGTGGGCGCTCAGCACTCGCTCGCTGGCTCGCTCGCCCTACACCTGTTTGCCTACTTACCTGCTCGCTGGCCCTCGCTCACCTTCTCGCTTGCCCACCCTCTCACCGGCTGTCCGACTTGCCTCTTCAGCTCCACACCAGCTCGCTCACTTCACTACACGCCCACCCGCTGGCTCGCTCTATCACCTGCTCACTCGCTGACCCGCTCTCCCGCTCAGCCCTCAAACCTGCCGATGTATTTGTCCGCTCGTCCACTCGTGCCCACCAACTCTAGCTCGCCTTGCTGCCCGCATGCCTGTCCTCTCTGTCTTTCTCTCGCACGCTTGCTCTCCCGCTCGCCCACTCACCCGCCGCTTGACCCCTCAACGCGCCGCTTGACCGTGAGCCTAACCTGGCGCACGTCGGCGCTCCTAGGTGGCGGCCGTGGGGAGAGAGGAGGCGACACAGGTAGGAACCCTCGTCCCCCACGCACACACAAGACACACGTCCTCAACACCTCCTGCTCCCACCCGGCACACCAGCTCCCCCGCCCCCGGCCCGCACATGGTCTCCCCTGCTACCCCACACATCCCCTGCACACCCACATCCCCCCCGTACACCCGCTGCCTGCACTCGCCCATTGCCCCCACTCCCTGACACGGCCACTGGGCACATCTCCCGCACGAGTTTACGCGGCGGCTGCGATGGATGCGGTACTCGTGATGTCACTTCCTGTGTGTGCTGGTGGTGGTAATGGGTCGTGTTGCGACGAGGCTGCAGCTGCTCGCGCTCGCACTGGCTCACTCACACTCATGCTCACTCGCGCTCACACTTGCTCACACTTGCTCACACTTACTCGCATGCTCACACTGGCTGACTCAGGCTCACACTCACTCACACTCACTCGCATGCTCACACTGGCACACTCACGCTCACTCGCGCTCACACTCGCTCCCACTCACTCGCATGCTCACACTGGCTCACTCACACTCACTCGCGCTCACACTCGCATGCTCACACTGGCTCCCACTCACTCGCCCACTCACACTTGCTCACTTGCGCTCACACTGCCTCACACGCACTCACGCTCGCGCCTGCTCGACACGCGCGTGTCCTCATGCGCCGGCACGGATCTGGTTCTGGCTCCGGCTCTGGTTCCAGCTCCAGCTCAGAAAGGGGGCAGCTGTGCCGGCTCCCCGTGGAAGCCGCAATCACGCGCCATGGTCCGCTGGCTGTGCTGGCTGCGCTCGCTCATCCCCCGCACACGCGGTCACGCTCTGTCTCGGCTGCTGATCCCCGGCCTTTGCCTACTCCCCGACGTCACTTCTGTCTCCCCAGTGTCGCCCTGCACATGCGCACGTGCATGAGCAAGCGTGTGTGTGTGCGCGCGAGAACGTGCGCGTGCACGAATAAGCACGTGCGCTTACGCATGCGCGTTCACGCGTGTGTGTAGGGTAGCAGTTAGCGCGATGCGCTACAAACCCAATGACCCGAGTTCGATTCCCGGGTTCGATTCAGCCTCACATGAGTACCTGGTGCGGTGTGTAAACATCGCTACTATGGAGACAAAGGCGGCCGGACGTGATACTAGCCACCTATCCCCCTCATGTGCAGTGTCGGCTTTCATAAGTGCTTGCTAACAGCACTTGTCTCAACAGTCTGTTACAGCTATACGGGGGATCTTTGTCTCTTGTGTGTGTTCTGTAGGGCCTAGTCTTTGTGTGTTGTACACAGCCGTGTTGTTTAGTGCCTAGTCTGTACCGTGCTGCAGTGCAGACTCGAGTGTGGTGCGCACCGTCGTGTGCAATCCGGCGAGGACGCATGGTGGTCTGTTGGGGACACGGTGAGTGCTGGCCGAGGGGTGACGGCACTCTGTGTGCAGGCCAGGGCAGCGAGCACGCCCAGGGCGCATAACTCACGGAGCGCCGCGTTCCGTCACGTGTAAGTTGCGTCATGTGTGACGGGTAAAAGCCGTGCCCAGACCGTGACGCTTGGCCCGGCATTGTGGGAGGAGAGAACGCCGAACTTCGTCTCCCACAGCCACCACCACCTCCGCCGCCACCACCACTACCCACTTCATCACCACCTCTACTGCCACCACCTCCATGACCACAATAACCACCACCTCCACCCTCCACCACCACCACCGTCCTCTCAACCACCACCACCCGTTCCACTACCACCACTGTCTACTCCATCGCCCCTGCAGCCCCGCACACACCTGACCACGACCCACCTCCCCACCCCACAGCCCTCCTCCGACACAGAGGAGGAGGTGCAGCTGATGCTGGCGCTGTCCCTGAGCCAGGAGCAACACCAGAAGGTAGCCCCACTGGGGCCAGCCGCCCCTAATGGGCCCTACTGGCCCTGTCGGCGGGCCCCGCCACTATTTAGCGGGCTCCCACTAAAGCTGCGTTTACATTCGCGGAGCCCCAAAGGTCGTTTTACCCAAGAAGGTTTCGGCCAGCCTCAAGACTTTTTCAGGAGCATCCCACCACATCGGGATGGTTTTTTTTCTTTTTAATTAACGGGAGATTTGATTCATTCAGGAGAAAAAGTGGAGAATCTGGAGAAAACCCATCAAGCATGCAAGGGGGTAACACTAGGGGAGGGAGGGAGGGGAGCCTATTGAGACCAAAAGTCTCTTTTTTTCGAGGTAGACCTGGGTCTCCAGAGCAGCAGTGCGGGGGACCGTACATCGCATGCAGAGTCAATCCACAGCGCCCACACACAGGGGGTGATAGCAGAGGGCAGTGCGGAAGAAAACCCCACGGCCCCAGCCGGTAGTCTCGCGGATCTGCGCGATCCGCCAACCCTCGCAACCAGAGCAGTCGCACCACTCCCAGGCGTGCGCCGCCTCCGTCCCTTAGAGTTGATCAGGCCCCCCTCCACCGACGAGTTCCGTTCTGGACAGCTCTGTAGTGAACGTACTTGTTCCCCCTCACCCCCCCTCCCGGTGTAAACGCAGCTAGTGGAGTCCACTCGCGAGCCTTGAACTGCTTCTCAAGATCTGTCCCGTGCTTTTATAAACGCTGTGCAGAATCGGCAGGCGATTTAAGGCTGTCGGAATTGCGATAATCCTTCAGCTGGCCATGATGATGATCCCTAAGAAGGCCAGGATGAGGGTGTGATCTGCTGAGGGCCTATTGCTGGGATTCTGTTGCGAACACTGATTGTTCCGGCAGCTTTGAACTGCACTTCTCTTTTGCTCTGCTGTGTAATCACTTGGGGGGGGGAGGGTGGTGGTGGTTGCTGGCCATGAGTGATTATATATTTTTTATCTTCAACAAGAGGATACCGATTTGCGACTGCGTCCGTCTCCCCCGTCTCCTCCCCCCTCACTCCGGGGCGTCTCCGGGTTTGTTGCCGGGCAATCGGCACCACGAGTTTGCTCTGCAAATCGATCGTTGAGATCCTCCTCCTGAATCGTGTCCTTGCTTGAGACTCCCTCTCTCCGCGCGCCATTGAGATTTGACGGATCGAGCGGTCAGAATCGCGTGCCTGAGGGAGACTCAAGCCCTCCCCCCCCCGAGTGGGATGGCGCGGTGCCCCACTCCTCCCGTGCGAGCAGCGGAGCGCCCGCCCGGGTGCAGAGACATCGGTGACTGGCGCGTGCGGTCGCGGCGGTGTGGCGGGGGTTTTGTTATGGTACACGGTGGACTTTGCTGGTGATTGCGTGCTGGGAATATGTGTGCGTGTGAAACGATGATGGTGTGTGTGTGTGTCGTGGTGATAGGTATGTTTGGTGGAGTTGATGGTGTGTATGTCTTTGTGATGGTCACTGTGTGTGTGTAGTGATGATGGTGGAGGTGGTGATGGTGTGCATGTAGTGGTGATAGAAAGTTTGGTGGTGATGTGTGTGGTGGTGATGGTTTGTGAAGCGGTTATGGTATGTTTGGTGGTGGTGATGTATATGTGATGGTGTGTGTATTTACTGGTATGTGGTACGTGTTGTCAAATTTGGGAGCAGTGGCGCATGCATTGGTAAGCGTGCTTGCGCTTCGAACCCGTTAACATGATGGTGATGCTGCTGGTGATGTTCCACGGAGGTGGTGCTGATGATGGTGATGTCGCACAGTAACGGTGATGATTCTGGTGACGTTGCATGGTGATATTGCATGGTGATGGTTCACTGTGATGGTGATGGTTCACGGTGATGGTGATGGTTCACGGTGATGGTGATCATTAACGGTGATGTTGCATGGTGAGGGTGATATTTCATGATTGTGGTGATATTGCATGATGATGGTTCACCGGTGATGGTGATGGCTTACCGGTGATGGGGTTCGTTGACGGTGATGTCGCATGGTGATGGTGATGGTGCACGGTGATGTGCCGTGTGTTCCCGTGCGCGTGCGTCAGGAGGAGAGGATGAGGAGGGGCGATGATCTGCGTCTCCAGATGGCTCTGGAAGAGAGTCGCAAGGACTCGGTGTCTCCCACCTCGCAGCACAACGGGGTGAGCAGCGCAGCGGCCACCACCCAAACCGCACCAGCAACCGCAGACACACCAACCACTCCACCAACCACAACCGCAGACACACCAACCACTCCACCAACCGCAACCACAGACACACCAACCACTCCACCAACCACAACCGCAGACACACCAACCACTCCACCAACCGCAACCACAGACACACCAACCACTCCACCAACCACAACCGCAGACACACCAACCACTCCACCAACCGCAACCACAGACACACCAACCACTCCACCAACCACAACCACAGACACACCAACCACTCCACCAACCGCAACCGCAGACACACCAACCACTCCACCAACCACAACCACAGACACACCAACCACTCCACCAACCGCAACCACAGACACACCAACCACTCCACCAACCACAACCGCAGACACACCAACCACTCCACCAACCGCAACCACAGACACACCAACCACTCCACCAACCACAACCGCAGACACACCAACCACTCCACCAACCACAACCGCAGACACACCAACCACTCCACCAACCACAACCGCAGACACACCAACCACTCCACCAACCGCAAACGCAGACACACCAACCACTCCACCAACCACAACCGCAGACACACCAACCACTCCACCAACCACAACCACAGACACACCAACCACTCCACCAACCACAACCACAGACACACCAACCACTCCACCAACCACAGACACACCAACCACTCCACCAACCACAACCGCAGACACGCCAACCACTCCACCAACCACAACCGCAGACACACCAACCACTCCACCAACCACAACCGCAGACACACCAACCACTCCACCAACCACAACCGCAGACATACCAACCACTCCACCAACCACAACCACAGACACACCAACCACTCCACCAACCACAACCGCAGACACACCAACCACTCCACCAACCACAACCGCAGACACACCAACCACTCCACCAACCGCAACCACAGACACACCAACCACTCCACCAACCACAACCGCAGACACACCAACCACTCCACCAGCCACAACCGCAGACACACCAACCACTCCACCAACCGCAACCGCAGACACACCAACCACTCCACCAACCACAACCGCAGACACACCAACCACTCCACCAACCACAACCACAGACACACCAACAACTCCACCAACCACAACCACAGACACACCAACCACTCCACCAACCACAGACACACCAACCACTCCACCAACCACAACCGTAGACACACCAACCACTCCACCAACCACAACCGCAGACACACCAACCACTCCACCAACCACAACCGCAGACACACCAACCACTCCACCAACCACAACCGCAGACATACCAACCACTCCACCAACCACAACCACAGACACACCAACCACTCCACCAACCACAACCGCAGACACACCAACCACTCCACCAACCACAACCGCAGACACACCAACCACTCCACCAACCACAACCGCAGACATACCAACCACTCCACCAACCACAACCACAGACACACCAACCACTCCACCAACCACAACCGCAGACATACCAACCACTCCACCAACCACAACCACAGACACACCAACCACTCCACCAACCACAACCGCAGACATACCAACCACTCCACCAACCACAACCACAGACACACCAACCACTCCACCAACCACAACCGCAGACACACCAACCACTCCACCAACCACAACCGCAGACACACCAACCACTCCACCAACCACAACCGCAGACACCACCAACCACAACCGCAGACACACCAACCACTCCACCAACCACAACCACAGACACACCAACCACTCCACCAACCACAACCGCAGACACACCACCAACCACTCCACCAACCACTCCACCAACCACAACCCTGCCGTGTCCACCCTCCCGCAGCAGTCGCAGTCGCAGTCCCACTCCTCGCTGCTGGACCTGGCCGACGTGTTCGCGCCGGCGCCCACCCAGCCCGGCTGGCAAGGGGCCCCGGCTCCTCTTGCCCACCACGGGGGGGACGCCTGGGGTGGGCCCCTGCCCCCCTCCTCCGCGCACCCCCACGGGGGGGACGCCTGGGGGGAAGCGAGCGCGGGTGGCGCGTGGGGGGCGCCCCACCCCGCGGCGGGGCCACCGGCGCTCGGTGGGGGGCCCTGGGGGGTCGCCGGCGGCGGCGTTCCCCTCCCCGGCACCCTGGCCGCCCAGGCGCGCTGGCAGCAGCCGCCGGCGGCGGCGGCGAGCATAGCGAGCGCGCCATCGCAGGATGCCTGGGGCAGCTCCGTCACCGCGGGGGCTTCCGCCCGTTCCTGGCAGCCTCCGGGTAAGAGCGAGGGCGGGGGATACGTGGCTTGGTAGGTTGGAGGGGGGTGGGGTTAGCGGAGGAAGAAACCTGGAGAAGGAATCCAGAATGTTCACATTGACGGTGCCAGACGAAAGAGTTGGACGCGATGAGTGGAAGGCGGCGACCGTTAAGCAGCTGTTGAGAGACTTGGACGGGGGACATTGGCGAATGAGCCGGGACGCGTTGTGTGTCAGGAGCGGTCGGTACGGCGGCCTGCGGAAGGGCAGCGAGGGGCAAGGAAGGGGCAAGGAAGGGGCAGGTTGGACCTTAGCCAGAGCTGGGAGGGATTGGTAGAGGGGAGAGAGGGAGAGAGAGCGGAGTGGAGTGGGGAGCACTCTCGTGTTGAGTGCCACTCCTCGCAGTGCAATGGACTCGAGTGGGAATTTGCTGGGAGATGGGGGAGGGGGGGGTTGTGTTTCGCAATCAGCAGTTCCTCGCGTGCGCCCACGCGGTGCGGAGCGGTTCACCGCCCTCCCAGCGACCCGATTGCCACGAGATTGACTCGAGGTGAAATTCGACGATTGATTCTTGCTGTTGGATTTTTCCGTCTCGTGTTGAACGTTTCTTTCGCTCCGTTTGCCTACGTGCGACACAAGCGCATGCCATCCAGAAGTAATTTGCGCAGCTCGTAAATAATCGATTCCTGACACTCGTGGCCACGTTTCGATGTATGTGCCGCGAGCGCGAGAATCGATGGTCCGAGCACCGAGCAAGATGCCGCGGAGGGTCCAGGTTTGAATCCAGACACAGCCGCCCATGATGAAACCAGGTTTCCGAAGCGTAATGAGCTGATGGTCTCCAATGACTGCACAAAACACCAGCACATTTCGTAGCCCCGATTTAGCACGGTTGGCTACGTACGGTGCGAAAGAAGTTCAACAAACATTTAATTTGCTTTTGGCGAATTTTGACCGAAATTTCCATTTGCAGCAGGGTTGATGGGAAAGTGCCGCCCTCCTAGCGCCCGGTTAAGAGGTTGCTTGGAAGACATTTCAGCAGTAGTCTGTGATATCAGCTTCGATAAACCACTCTAAAATAAGGAAATGCAGTGCTCTGTGAGAATACTGAATGTATCCTTCAGAACTTGCTCCAAAACGGTTATATATGCAGATATACTACTTGTACTTCTAACGAGACAAATATATTTATCAACTCTAAGTGTCGTTTGTTGGTGTCTCCTTGACATTTTGTACATTGGCCCAGATCTAGAACAAAGTTAATCTGCCCAAGTAGACAAACGTTGCACGAAGTTGCACTTCATTTCGGTCGGCTAACGTGTTTGCTCCTCGTGTGTTTTTGTTGGCGTTTCACAACGCAGGTCCCCTGCCCCTGACCTCCGTCGCCACCACCAGCGCATGGGGCCCGGTCTCCAAATCGCCCTCCGACCCTTGGTCAGCCTTCCCAGAATCTCCCGCTTCCCCTCCGCTCCCGGCATACTCGACGAGCCCTCCACCCATCCCGGCAGCGTCCGCCGACCCCTGGGCTCCGCTGGACGGAAGGGCCAAGTCCGCCGCCACCTCCGCGTCCTCCGCTGGTACCGCCTTCCCGCTCGCGACCGCTCGGTTTCATCGGCCGAACGCCGCTCGCTCAACGGCCGCCACCACGCGGCGCAACCTCTCCGCCCTCCATCCCTTACGCCGCCCCTCGCGGTCGCATCACACTGAAAAAGAACGGGGCGCTGACTTTGGAGCAGGAGACAGGGTTAGAGGGTTGGTGGGGAGGCAGTGGTAGAGGGTTGGTTGGCAGTGGAAGAAGCAGTGGCCTGGCTGCTGCATGACTCCACGCGGACTCGGTTATTGATGGCGGAACATCGTCTCCTGAGCTGCTGGCCCGAGGCAGACCACGGCGTCGCTGCCACACGGCAGACGCCGCGATAAGGGACGCGACACACGGCCCACTCCCTCCCTCTCCATCCCCACCTCACCCCCTCATCGTAGTCCCTCTCTCTTGCTCCATTAATCTGCCTCTCACTTGCTCTCCCACTCTGTTTTTCCTGTCTATCCACTTGCTCTGCCTCTCTCTCCTCTCACCCCCTCTCTCTCTCTCTCTCTCTCGCCATCTTTTCCTATTATTCTCATTTTCCCTCCCTCTCTGCTTGTATTTATCTCTAATTGCTTATTCCCTTTTTACTTGCTCAGTGTGTGGTGTGTGTGTGGTTAACTGTCGATGTCTGAGTGTGTCTGAGTGCGTTTCTGTAATTGGTGTAATGGGGAGCGGGAGTGTAACTGTAAGCGTACTGCGCTACAAACCCGGCAGCCCGAGTTCAATTCCCGTCACGACCAAAACCAGTGACTATTATCTGAACCAGTCCTGGGCCTCCCCTAGGTCGACTCAACCTCAAATCTGTACCTAGTGTGATGTGTAAAACTTTCTTACTCAGGAGACAAAAGTGAGTGGTGTGGTGCTTATCACACACCCCCTCGTGTCCCGTGCTAGCCTTTATAGGTGCTCGCTAACAGCACTTGCCCCAACAGACTGGTAAGGCTATAGGGGGATCTTTATCTTTGTAATTTGTGTGTATATGTTTGTATATATTTTGAACTACTTTCAGCATATTGGTGTGTGGAGCTGACATGTGTATTTAGTATTTGTGTGTGTGTGTGTTCGGGGTGTTTGTGTCCATTGGTTTGGTGTGAGTGTGTACATTTGGTGTATTGGTGCGAGTGTGTTTGCTCATGTTTATGCAAGCGTGTGTGTGTGTAATAAATTCAAGTGCGTTCTCCAGCTGAAGAGGCAATACAACATCCTGCAAAGACTGGAAATAAATAAAACAAACGATAACATTTATACTCCGCACGGTATCCTCGACCACGGAATGTAACAAGAATCCCAGCTTGCTGTGCATATCAGTGGCATCATCGTGCGCGCATGTGTGTGTGTGACGGAGTGTATTCTGCGGTAGTGTGTCTAGTGCCAGTCGCCAGTTAAGGCTATACGGGGGATCTTTATCTGCGGTAGTGGGGAGAGATAGTGCAACCGTTAGCACGCTGCACTATGAACCCAGTGACCCGAATTCGATTCCTGCTCACTGAAATCGAACCCAGTGACCCGATTCTGGCAAATCGCCCGATGATGCTGGATGTTATTACCAGCGAAACGTCGTACTCAAAATTGTAAATGTTGTGGATTCACTCTTCAACACACCGGTGGGCTAAAGTAGTGAACTATTTGTCTTTTGTCAACGTGACACATGTTTTACTGATTGGCCATGTTGGGTAGTGGAGGGTTGCGACACATTTATAAATAACGCAATCTAACCCAAAAACCTTTATTATGAATAATATTGGTCGCGAAAGCCTACGTGTTTGTGGAATTTGTGTTTCTACAATTGTGTATACTCTACGTGTGCGTGTGTGTCTAGTGCCAGTCGCCAGTGCCAGTCATCTTGAGTGGGTTAACCCACAACACCTGGCTCTCCCATGACCCTCCTGCCTGCAAGCAAGCCTTCCACACGTCAGCCCTCATAGTCGTTATCCCTCTCCCTGTTGCCGCAGCCTTCGACCCGTTCGGTCAGACGGAGGCGCCCTACCGGGAGGAGCCGGAAGGCTTCGGCAGGAGCGGCCCCACCGCACCCATCAACACCTCCGCGGGTACTACTCCTGGCACGCACGGCACCACGCTCGTTCATCAACCGCATTCTGGCAGCGACAGAGTGGCGGCACAGTGGTATCACTCGTGCCTCGCCGTGAGAAGGGCGTAGGTTTGATTCCTGCCTGGGGGGCCCCTTATTCGCGTATAGTTTGTGTCGGGTACTTCGCATTTCTTACATGGTAATAAAATAAAAATATAGAATACATTTTTTTTTCAATGTCACCGGTCTTGAGCTGATTTCCCCAATGCTGAAAATGTACTTGCAAATTACACCAAAAGCATTGCCCATTGCGGTGGGGGTTACGTTCTTCAAAAGAGCCGCAATCGGCAAATCCGCCATCTGCGAACTCTGAGGCAAATTGCCAATCTAGGGTTTTGGTTCACGGTTCGTAATACAACACCCTCGTTATTCACCAACTTAATTTCCGCAATTTTGGCTATCCAAATGTGTGAGCGAGTGTGTGATTATGATGAGTGTATGCGTCAAAGGAGAGTTCATCATAGGCATCTGCCGCCCTGACTCCTCATCTCTTCCTCCCCTGTGTTCTCCCGCGTTTACTCTCTCATCTCCGGCGACGCGTGGGCGTGCAAACCGGGAAGCGTGCGCGCGCGCGTGACTCCGGCATCAAACAGCTACTGAGTTGGCTGCCTGCTCACGCTCGCACGGCGGCCCCTGCTGCCCTTTCATGATGAACACAGCCTGCCCTGTCGCGCTTCTCCCCAGTCGTGTGCCACAAAGGGGCCTTCTGTATTATTAATGGCTTCTGCACTGACGCCTCAAAGAGAGGGGGGGGATAGAGCACTTTGTTTATTCCCGCACTGAAGGCCCCTTGACTCGACGGCCCCTCTGTACCCCCCCACCCTCTCCACCGCCGCTGCAGTAATTGCAGTGCGAGGGGTTGCAGAGAGCGACTCTTCATCAGCCGAGTAGCTGCTCAGCCGACAACTTTTTTTTCTTTCCCAACTGAGGAGCGCGACAGGACATATATATATTCGTCGCCATGCTCCAAGAAATATTGCGTGCATCCGTCCCACCGACAACGCTTCACAATTTTTCACAAAAACTACACTGGCCCCTCGACAAACTGCTACGAAACTCACCGCACAGCTCGCCAACGCTCCTCAAATATATAATATTTTGGGCGAGGTTATTTGGCTAAATACATTTATGAATGCATTTTCATTTAAAAATAAACGTTGCACCTGCGCTGTACACTGGCGCGATTAGCCGAGCGCGTGGATGCGTTTACACAATGAGTCGAGTGCTCTTAAACACTGGGTCCTTTGGCCCCGAGGCCCGGAGGTCTGATGCCGCCCACAAAGGTTCTTGCGGTGAACCTGCCCTCAAGCTTGGCTGGAGAGGAGAGCAGCGAGATGAAAGCGACATAAACGGTAGACGAGAGCCTGTAGACAAGAGACACAGATCGTAACAGCCGCCACACATGACATACGACATCACGCCGCTTGTCTGCACACACTCATTCTAATTTGTAACCCTCCGCCCCACCAAATGGAAAATATAGTTTGGAGGACCCCCCGCCACCCCCACCGCTCTGACAAAACAGAGGCTCCCGCCACGCGATAGACTGCTTTGTCAGCTTCTCTGTCGGTGCTGCCATTGCCAGGTGAGCTCAGCATGCTGAGCGGAAGCTCCACGGGGGGCGGGGCGCACATCAGCCGGGGCTCCAGCCCAGACGCGTTTGAGCTGTCGAGCGTCGCCAGGTCCCTGCCCTCGGCGCCGGCCCCGACGCTGCCGCTCCCGCAGGCCCTGCCCAACCCCAGCCGCAAGACGCCCGAGTCCTTCCTGGGGCCGGCCGCCTCGCTCGTCGACTTGGACGCGCTGGTTGGCAGGCCAACGGTCCACCAGCCACCTGCCGGGGCCGCCACTGCGCAACCGGCGTCCAAAAACCCCTTCCTATCCCTAGGCAAGGCCGCGCGCATCTCTGGTTTCCGTACGACCCCCACGCATCCGTAATAAGCCAGGGGGGTGAAACGGTGCCAGTGACCAATGGGTTGAATTGCATTCTTCTGTGAGATGTGTTTTAGAAGTGTGCACGTTGTCGCCGATTCACGTGACCCCTATACAGCGCTTTGAGAAAATATTTTTATTGTGACCCCCCCCCCCCCTCACAAATTATGGAGAAATTATATTTTTTTGAAGGGAAGAGCTGGATTTTAAGCAATTTGAGTAAAAAATCAAATAAAAATGTCGTGCAGTCATTGGTGACCGTGCTGAGACGATCAACTCGTTACACTTGAGAACCCAGTTTCACCTCCAGCGACTGAAACCAAAATTGAACCGAAGGATCTCATTGGTCCCACCTCGGCGTCTCCTACTTCTCATGCACAAAGATCCCCCGTATAGCCTTAACAGACTGGTGGAGCACGGCGCACTAGGGGGTGGGTGGCCAACACCACGAACAGACCGCTTTTGTCTCATTGGAGGCGGAGTCGACCTAGGGGAGGCCCAGGACCAGTTTTGGTAATCAGTGGTGTTGGCCATGAGCGGGAATCAAACTCCGGTCGCCAGGTTCGTAGCGCAGCACGCCAACTGCTACGCCACCGCTCCCATACACACAGACACGCACGCTTCCTATACTTTCAACCGTGATCTTGCCGAGGTTGATAAAACCGAGTCGTACCAATTTGAAATAATTTTTCCCATATTCACGAACTGACCCACGCCAGAGGAATATAAAATTGCCACCGCTGGTATGGTGAAGCCGGCTGAATCGGCAGTCATGGCTGCCGGTGCTGGAATTTGTTCTAACGGTGAGCCCGCCTGTCTTGCTCCACAGACGCGTGCCAGGGGTCGCAGCCGACCAACCCCTTCCAGGTGATGAACCACTTCACGGACGGGTCCGTCCCCCACTACACCGACGGGCATGGCCCCCACTTCGCCGAGGCACCCGGCGCCCCCTTCTCCAATGGCCTCGTGATGGCACCTGCCCCTGCGCTGGCCACTTCGGTCGGCTTCTCAGCCGCCGGCGGCCCCTTCGGGGATTTCTCTTCAGGGCCACCCGCACAGCACCTAATGGTGGCGCCCACTCAGCCAAAATTCACCACCAACCCCTTCCTCATGTGAGGGCCCACGGTGCCCATGGATTGACTTGCGCGGCGGCTCGAAGGGATTTCGGTTTCGTCGTTTCTGTTTGGTGGGGTGAAGGAGGCGGGGAAGGGAAGCTGTGTTTGGGCAAATGAGGGACTCGGAGGAGAATGGGCCATCTTGTGAGATGCAAAGCATCCAGGTGCGGGAGGGAGGGAGCTCGTATTTTGTGCTGCAGCTCATGTTTCAGCTCGTGACCGACTCATTGTCCGGCTTGCTCTCCCCAGCTTAAGAGAGGCTCTCTGTCCAGGCCACACTCTGGGTCGTGCTCCCATTTTCTGCTCTTGCTCGTGCTCCCATTTTCATGACCAGTCCATACTCCGGCTCTTACTCTGGCTAATATGACCAGCTCATTATGTGGCTCGTGACTAGTTCAGGTTTGAACTGCACGCCAGCACATGCTGTAACTTGTGCGCCAAGGCGGTGACCGGCTCATGGTCTGTCTCATTAAATAGGATCATGCTCAGGGCACTTTGATAGCCCATGCCGTGGTCCATGCTGTGGCTTATGCTATGGCCCTGCTGTGGCTCATGCCGTTTCTTATTCCGTGGCCCATGCTGTGGCCCATGCAATTCCTGATGCTGTGGCCAATCCTGTGGCCCATGCTGTGGCTCATTCAGTTTCTGATGCTATGGCTCGTCTGGGCCGTGCGGTATCTCGCACTTCCGGCTATTGCCCTGGTTTGCGCTGGGGCCCGCGCCGACACGCGGTGTCGCCGTTATGAGTGAGCAATGCCAGTGGCCCCCGTGCCAACTGCGTTGGTGACTCGTGAAGAAGGAGGAGGGATGTGGGCACGTGAGTGCATTGCGCTCACCGTGCACCCTCGCCCATTTTGTAACGCAGCATCAATGAAAAATAAGATATTTATGATTTAAAAAATGTAAGGGAATGTATTGGAAAAAAATATTATTTGCAAAGTAGTGTAATCTTTATACATTTTTGGGCTAGTGGCTTTGAAATCCTGTAGCAATTTCGTTCCAGATGAGATATAACAATAATAATTAACATCGGGTCATAATGACCGTGTGCCATCACTATGCGACATTAATTATAGTATTAAAGTACTTTATTCTAGTATTGAAGGAGTAAAATTTGTGAGTATGTAAACTGTCGTACGTCTTGCACTTAACTGGAACCAATGTGAAGCTGTAGATCGGGCAGCTAGGGAGAAGGGATGTGGGGGGGGGGCGCGGTGTGCCCTGGAGTTCGGCAGGGGGTTCGTAACACCGTGACCCCTGGGCATGTGGCAGTGTTGTGCTGTTACCACTTTAATTATTTGAGGACACACATTGCCATTGAACACTGAACACTGACCGCGACATTCAGCATTAAACTTAGTGAAAAATAAAGCAGGTAGATCTGACTCCTCCGCTGTCCTTGTGAAATGTTTCTTGAAATTCGTCGTCTATCCAGCAAGGAAAGCTAATGGTAACCAGAACCTCCCAGATACACAGATTAACGAATGTAAGGGACTGCATTGGTTGTGGTGTACAAACAAAGCACAGCCCACCACATTCGTTCAACTAAGCAATCACTTCGGGGCCTAAGTAACTCAAGAGGCCCTGGATTCAGGAATAAGAAGAGCAGGGGTGCAGCAACTATCAGCTATAATTCAAATCCAAGTAAATATTAAAGTGAATGAACATTAAACAGGAAAATAAATCTCTCATCCCCATTGTGCATTGCTCTTCTCTCGTCTCGTTCCATTTTTGCCCCTTTTTCGACATCTCATATCACTCCTCTCACTAGCTCGTTCATCTGTCTCACTACATATCTCTGTCTCATGTTTATATCTGTCAACTCACTCCCTTCTGTCTCATCTCTCTATCTCTATCACTACATCTCTTGTCTATATCTGGCAGGAGCCAGCATAACCAAGTGCTGATGACGATAAATGTCAACTTTTCATAAATTGGTGTCGTTTTATCGACAAAAAATGGATGTTGGACTGGCTTCCCCCAATTCAAGACTGAATTCACAACATTTATATTGCCATCACAAGATCTCCCTTGATAGCACTGGGCACCGCCCATATAAATTCCCCATTCCTATGACAGTGATGTACAGGGCCCCTGTTACGTCACTGTGTGGCCTGACTTTTTACGGCATGAAGTCCGGCGTTTCGCTCCACGTCCTGAAGAAGCTCCCAGCGTATGGGGCGAAACGTCGAACATCACACCGAACAACAATGATACATCCTGGAAACACATCGGAGAGCTGCACAAGTGCATGAACCTACGCAGCAGCATTCTTTTCAACATTGGTCTTGCGGACAAACTGCAGTATGACCACGATCCATTGCAGAGAGGGCATCTTGCTCTGCCGCTGAAGCTTTTTAATTTCCTCGTGGTGCACACACAAGTGGGAAGTTTATTAGCTGGAGAGAAATGACCTTTTGATCGACTGACCCTGCAGGTCAATATCTTCCAAGAACTAACATTTTCCATTATGTACCGTTGCACAATTTACGATTGAAAAATGCTGGCTTTCAAGGTCTGTTGGTGTAAAGGGTCATTTCTGCCTTTAAACGCCAAAAATGCTGTTTTGCTGCATTGGCACAATTTGTGGGAAACGGCAGCGATTTTTACGTTGAATTGGTAAACCCGGTAAGTTCTAAGTACAGGCCACATCACCCGTGATATTGATTGGTCTCGGCGCGAGAGGAAATCGGGCTAGGGCAGGGGTCGGCAAACAATAGCATGAGCCCATTCGTTGGGGAAAATTCGGAAAGCGAAAAAAAACCCTTTATATTTCAAGAGCCGCAATGCATAATAAATAACGTCACGAAGCAGTGCTTAAAAGAGCCGCATTATGGCTCCGTAGCCTTGGGTGGGGCGCCGCAGTGGCGAGATGTTAACTACCTCGCCTGGTGTGCAGGAAGTCGTGGGTTCGATCCTGACACCTGCTGTATATTTGGAGTTTGCGTGTTCTCCCCGTGGTCACGTGGATTTTTCTCTTTGAGTCCTCCGGCGTGGTCCTCTATATTTAGAAACGTGCATTTAGAGTGTTAGGCTGCTTTCCATTTCCACATCAGCCACTTCGTTGAGCTATCATGTGGTCAGGTCGTTTCTAAATGGGCCTTACCTGCTAAAAAAAATGTTTTTACGTGGTTGCCGACGCCTGTTGCTAGGGGCTTAGTTGCTAAAGTAAGGGCTGAGATAAGAGACCTATTGACTAGAGTGGCGCTTTGTCGCCGGTGTACCGCGGCATTTTCGAATTTATCAACAACAAGCACATAGACATAGACTCAAACGTAAAACAATGGGACACGCAAACAACGGACTGTTAAACGATTAACAGATGAAATAAATGAAATAACGCAGACATCAACATAAAACTATTCAATAGACACACAGACATTGTAATGAACACAGTGACCGTACATACAGAGATGAAAATAAATCCATGACATAGACGAACAGACGTCCATCCTAACAATTACCAATTAAACAGCCGTCATTGGCAACACAGTGGCGGTGATGTCTACACAGCGCTTGTGCCAGGCTAGGTGCACTTTGAGGACTCATCGAGTCGTTTCGAAGGCTCACGGGACAGACCCCAGGTGCCATGGGTTGACTGAGATAACTAAATCCCGAGCCTCAACGCGTCTTGCGGCTCTTACTTGAGTTGCGACGAAGCCTGGGGAACACGCAGCGCTCAAGGGGAGAGGCGACACAGGCGACTGTGGAAATTCCACACCTCCATGACGGCACCAAGTCCGCCCAAAGCGGCGTATCACTTGAGAAAGAGACGCGCACAACATCGTTCTCCACGATCAATCCACTGCTGGATGAAAAGTCCCACCGATGATTTGGTTCGAAGATCCAGCAAGATGATAATTGGTTTAACCTCTTTTTTTCTGGCAACAAAACAGGTGTTAACATACTCTTTGGTTCTTTCGGTAAAGTCACGTAGATAGAAAAATAAAAGATCACGACGTTTCGATCGCAACACAAGCAACCGTCATCAGGTGAGACAATCACAGCAGGGAAACTGCTGACTTCAAATTCAGAGAGGTGTTAAGATACTCTTTGGGTCTTTCGGTAAAGTCACGTAGATAGAAAAATAATAGATCACGACGTTTCGATCGCAACACAAGCAACCGTCATCAGGTGAGACAATCACAGCAGGGAAACTGCTGACTTCAAATCCAGAGAGGTGTTAAGATACTCTTTGGGTCTTTCGGTAAAGTCACGTAGATAGAAAAATAATAGATCACGACGTTTAGATCGCAACACAAGCAACCGTCATCAGGTGAGACAATCACAGCAGGGAAACTGCTGACTTCAAATCCAGAGAGGTGTTAAGATACTCTTTGGGTCTTTCGGTAAAGTCACGTAGATAGAAAAATAATAGATCACGACGTTTAGATCGCAACACAGGCAATCATCTTCGCTCGGAGGTTCGGAGAGCCGTGAGAATCTGCAAGGATGGGTGGTGGTCGCGGGTTGCTGAGGAGATGGAGTCTGCCTCAATGGCCCGCGATCACAAATCGCTCTTTAATTCCATTTTTAAAAAAGTAACCTGCAGCGCCACACCTATTACCATCATTAGGGGAAAAAACAGTGATCCAATCTCAGACCCCCAGGAACAGGTTTGCAGATTTGCTGATCATGTATGAGGACCTGGGGGAGGGGAAATCCCTCAGCCTGGAAAACAACGTGGGACACAGTGGGGATGACCCTGCCGAGGCTGCGGTGCCTCAAATATTGGAGGAAGTCGCCCTCTGTGAGTGGCTGCCTGAGGTGCCATCTGTTGAAGTACTGAAGGCGATCCAGAGTCTTGAGACCAGGAAAGGCATCGGGCAGAGATGATCTCCCAAGCGAAATGCTGAGGGAGGGTGGCTTTTGTGCACCGACTGCCCTACATGACATCATAACAACAGTCTGGACCACAGGACGGGTTCCGCAGGATTGGAAGGATGCCCTGGTGGTCCCCCTCTTTAAGAAGGGGGACCGCACAGACTGTAACAATTATAGGGGCATCTCACTCCTCAAGGTCCTGGCAAGGATTATTCAACATCGCCTTGCCAGGCACGCTGAGGAGAGGCTTGCGGAGCCCCAATGCGGTTTCAGGAAAGGGCGGTCCTGCACAGATGCCATATTTTCTGTCCGTCCTGCTACAGCAGAGATGTCAGGAATTCCAACAAGACCAACATCTCTGCTTTATTGACCTGGTCAAGTCCTATGATACCATCAGTAGGCCTGGGCTCTGAGTTGTTCTTCGTGCTTTCGGAGTCCCTGACCCTCTGCTCACGATCATTAAGGACATTCATGATGGTGAGTGGGCCCAGGTAAAACTACGTGGCCGGGAGTCGGAGCCATTCTCTGTATACCTTGGGGTGCGACAGGGATGTCCTCTAGCTACCACATTATTTAACATCTATTCCGGCTACGTAATTCGTGACGCCTTCAATAGCTGTACCGAAGGAATTTCCATCTGGTCCAGTTACAATGGGAGGCTGATCCATGCATGGGTGTGCGGTCAAGGGATGGCTCCCTATTGGTCAACCACGTTATGTATTCCGATGATCTGGTCATTGCTGCTCACTCAGAGGAGGAGTTGGAGGCGCTGCTGCTGAACCTGGAGCTTGCCACTAAGAGGTGGGGCCTTACCATCAGCCCCACCAAAACTAAGCACCTGCCTGGGTATTTTGTACCATCGGACACTCCACTCCCACAACTCCCAATCGGTGATGGGGCAGTAGTGGAGAGAGTGGAGAGTTTCCCATACCTGGGCAGTGTGCTCATGACCGGCTCCGGTTTGATAGCAGAGGTCTCACTCCGAGTCAGTCGAGCGGCAATATCTTTTCATCGGTTGCGTAACGCTGTGTGGAAGCTACCTGGTCTGTCGCTCCGCACGAAGCTTCAGGTCTCCTCGGCCACAGTCATTCCCTCCCTTCTCTACGCTTAATGGAACATCATCTCCGGTTAGAAACATTTAGGCTGGAATGATGTGGTACAGGAGGACGTGGAGCTGAGTGGACTTGCCGATGACTGGCACCAGCGGTGTCAAGATCGGCCTCTGTGGAGGAGGCTCGTGAAGGACGCTGCTACTGGGCAGTTGGAGGCAGTCGCCCTCCAACAACAACGGAGGGCGGAGGAGCGACGCTCACAACAACGAGCGGAGCGCCGGGTGGCTAAAGCACAGCAAGTTGGCACAGTAGGGGGCACAGGTGGTGCATCAGCCAGTCATCTCGGTCATCTCGGTCAGTCGACCCGTGGCACCTGCTGGGTCTGCCCCGTGACCTATCAGCGGGCGTTCGATACTTCACGTGACCTCAAGGTGCACATGGCCTGGCACAAGCGTCGTGGTGACGTCACCGCCACTTAGTGGCGAATTGCGGTTGATGGTGAGAGTGATGGTGAGTGATGTTGTTGGTGAGTGATGTTGATGGTGAGTGATGTTGATGGTGAGTGATGTTGGTGAGTGATGTTGATGGTGAGTGATGTTGTTGAGTGATGTTGATGGCCGTGTTGATGGTGAGTGATGTTGATGGTGAGAGTGATGGTGAGTGATGTTGATGGTGAGTGATGTTGTTGGTCAGTGATGTTGATGGTGAGTGATGTTGATGGTGAGTAATGTTGTTGGTGAGTGATGTTGATGGTGAGTGATGTTGTTGGTGAGTGATGTTGATGATGAGTGATGTTGATGGTGAGTGATGTTGATGATGAGTGATGTTGTTGGTGAGTGATGTTGATGGCCGTGTTGATGGTGAGTGATGTTGATGGTGAGAGTGATGGTGAGTGATGTTGATGGTGAGTGATGTTGATGGTGAGTGATGTTGATGGTGAGTGATGTTGATGGTGAGTGATATTGTTGGTGAGTGATGTTGATGGTGAGTGATGTTGATGGTGAGTGATGTTGTTGGTGAGTGATGTTGATGGCCGTGTTGATGGTGAGTGATGTTGTTGGTGAGTGATGTTGATGGTGAGTGATGTTGATGGTGAGTGATGTTGATGGCCGTGTTGATGGTGAGTGATGTTGATGGCCGTGTTGATGGTGAGTGATGGTGAGTGATGTTGTTGGTGAGTGATGTTGATGTTGAGTGATGTTGATGGTGAGTGATGTTGATGGCCGTGTTGATGGTGAGTGATGGTGAGTGATGTTGTTGGTGAGTGATGTTGATGGTGAGTGATGTTGATGGTGAGTGATGTTGATGGTGAGTGATGTTGATGGCCGTGTTGATGGTGAGTGATGTTGATGGTGAGTGATGTTGTTGGTGAGTGATGTTGATGGTGAGTGATGTTGATGGTGAGTGATGTTGATGGTGAGTGATGTTGTTGGTGAGTGATGTTGATGGTGAGTGATGTTGATGGTGAGTGATGTTGATGGTGAGTGATGTTGATGGCCGTGTTGATGGTGAGTGATGTTGATGGTGAGTGATGTTGTTGGTGAGTGATGTTGTTGGTGAGTGGTGTTGATGGCCATGTTGATGGTGAGTGATGTTGATGGCCGTGTTGATGGTGAGTGATGTTGATGGTGAGTGATGTTGATGGTGAGTGATGTTGATGGTGAGTGATGTTGATGGTGAGTGATGTTGATGGTGAGTGATGTTGATGGTGAGTGATGTTGATGGTGAGTGATTTTCTTTGACGTTACAAGCAGTCCACGAAGCCGTGGTCACAGAGCGCCACCCCGCGGCCTCATTACACCAAGACAATGCCGGTTGTTCCGGATCATTATTGAGGCTCGTGTTGTTATTAGACTCGTAACATAATTACGAGTTAATTACGCGATAGTGTGTCTCGTGTTTCAAGATGAACAGGGACGATTGAGGGACTTCGGCCGGTAAGGGACGACAACCCGCAAACATCGACGCGTTTCCTCTCGTTCATCGGCTAAATGTACCCCCACCCCCCTTCGCAATCGCAGCAATCGATTAATCGCCGTGGTTGTCGTGATTATTAGCATCGATTGTCATTACGGAGGGGGTGTCGCCTGAGGGCCTGGGGCTTATTCGTCACCCGCGGCCTTCCCCTCACCCATCGCCGCTGTTGTTTATGTTTCGGTTTTTTTAGCTTTTACTTTCACTTTCGCAGCTGCTACTACTGCTGCATAAGAATAAAACGTTGTTGGTGCTACTTTGCTATTTTTGCTGTTGTGTGATTAAAGTTGCATTTGCAATTTGGCGGGAAGTGCGACTCGAAGCTCTTTGACCCCCCGCTACGGGAGGCCTCGCTGTGGGGACCGACCTAGGCCCAGTTTCTTCTAAACAACAACAATCTGTACAGTGTCCACTTCCCACCGCTTTAAATGATAAACTTGAGGGAAACTTCCACCTAAGGTGTCTTAAATTGTTATTTTTTTATTATTATTTTCGAACAATGCAAACAATTGCCGAAGTCTTTACGACCCGACTGCAGTAGTTTTCGCGTTGAACTTCTTTCGCACCGTACGTAAGCTAATCGGGAGAATGGCGACAAACTAAAGCAGACGAAGTCATTTCATTAATTAGCGCCGCTTGTTCATGATAACGTGAAGGGGTGTGGGGTGGCATCTCCTCTAACGCAGTGGTTATTTGTTGTTCCAAGGTAAATCATCGAACACACAAATTAAGCCACCAACATCACTCACCATCAACATCACTCGCCATCAAGTTGCAACTTAATTGGTTTCGTCAAACCCCTATGTATTTGTTAACATTATTAGATTGGTACTCTTGGTTCTTTCGGTAAAGTCACGTAGAAGGGAAATAATAAAATAATGAAAATTTTAAAAAATTCTCACGACGTTTCGGCCACAACCCAAGTAGCCGTCCTCTTTCCGACAGCTCTGTTCTTCACCTGAGGACGGCTGCTTGAGTTGTGACCGAAACGTCGTGAGAATTTTTATTGTTTTATTTTCATTATTTTATTATTTCCCTTCTACGTGACTTTACCGAAAGAACCAATAATATGGATCCCTGCAGTCACGAAAGCTTTAAATCGTAAATTATTACATTGGCTTAACGATTGAGAACCAAAGGGGGGGGGGGGGGTGCAAGGTTGCAGTGAAGGTTTAAAGGACCACTGCTCCAACGTGAGGTGGTTTTGTGTCGCCACTGACATTGTCTCTCACCACCCAGCGGAGGCTCTGTCTCAAGCATTGACCGTCTCTGAACGTTGTGAGGTGGTGGAGGCGGAGAATCTTAGTCAACCAGAAGAGGTGACCCGGCTCTTCTGGTAAATGTGGGGATTTGGTGGTGGTGGTGGTGGGGGGGTGCCATGGATGGACCCTGACTGCCATGCAATCGGTTACTTTGCAGAGACCGCGATGCCGAGAGGCGTGAAGAGGCCCTCACGACGGGGACGAGGAGGGCTGGGCCTCGGGAGAGACGGCGACGACGAGGAGGAGGAGGAGGGGACCCAGGTGGTAAGGAAGACCGGGAGGTCCAAACAGCCACGTGGGGGAGATGACGACGAGGCGAAGGAGGTGAGCAAGACTCGTGGCTTCAAGGAGTCTGGAGGAAGTGGTGGTGACGAGGTGAAGGAGGCTCGTGGGTCCAAGGAGCCTGGAGGTGACGAGGCGAAGAGGACGAGGGAACCTCGGCGCCGACCCCCCGTGGTGCCTGAACCCTCCCAGACCCCCGACGAAGCGGGGACCCGAGTCCCCTCGGCGAGGTCTTCATCACGCCGCCGCCACGCACCGGTGAGGTCCGGGCCCCCTCCACACGTAGCGCCGTCTCTCCGAGCGGGGAGACCTCTTCGCTCAACTGCGCGAACTAGTTTTAGTGATCGAAAACGACGTGGCCACGCATTGATCCGTGATTTTGGTCTTGCGCATGCATTACTCGCATGTCTGTTGTGTTGTACTGTACTGAATCTATGAGAAGGGACTGTTATCTGCATTTTCCTTGCTACCTATAGTTAAGTCATTAGCACGTTATTGATAAAACCTTGTTTAACCATAACCTGAACTGTTCTGAGATGTCCTCCTGCACCTCCGATTAGCACGGTTGCCTATGTACTGTGCGATAGAAGTTTAACTTACATTCGATACATTTTCATAATTCGGGGTCTCTAATTCGATTATTGTTGTTCCATTGCAGTGAATTGGAACCTTCCAGTGGCTGAGATTGAACCAATTCCAACATTTAAGGATCTAAAATAATCAATCTTCGCACAATTGATGAACAGTATCATCGTGAACTCAAGCAAAAAATTGAATTGACTAATCGGTGTATCTTTACTCTTTGGTTCTTTCGGTAAAGTCACGTAGGTAGAATTTTTTTAAATATTTTCTACCTACGTGACTTTACCGAAAGAACCAAAGAGTATGGATTCCTGCAGTCACGAAAGCTTCAAATCAAGATTGATGTATCTTTACTTACATGCCTGGTGGGTAAGTCAATGGTCGGGGGGGGGAGGCGGACAGAAGATGATGTCGGGTGAGAGGACATCACCTCAGGTCTGAGACTTCCCCTGGCAGTTTTGTCAGTAGGAGAGTGTGGCTGCAGACTATGTATGTTTCTGTTCCGCCGTTTCAAAATAAAACGTGATTTTTTTTGACAGTTCATGTAAAGTCAAAGAGTTAATATTATTGAGATTAGCGCGGTTGGCTATGTACGATGCGAAAGAAGTTCATCATACTTACGCACAAACAGGTCGGGTGTCGTGAGAAGGTATTCATCATTAGACAACATTTTCAGAGAAAACACAGCGAGGAATGTTTCATCATCACCACAGTGACCAAATAATGCTGCTGGATTTCCAGTAGGAAGTGGCAGAAATTCACTTACATAAAAAAATAACCACAATTCATCCTAAATTGCACATCACAGGAGACTGTGCTCTGACAGCCATTATGGGCCACCCAGCCATCTTCCTGCTTTAATTGTGTTATATCCGTGTTAGAATAAACACAACAGTTGCTTCCTACACGTAGTTAGCATCTGAAGTGGGCTCTGATTTATGGTGTGGCCTAGGTACAGAACAAGCCGGACAAGGATAAGGAGGTGGAGGGGACATCCAGTGAAGAGATGACTGAAATGAGGAAGAGTGATGGAAGAAAACGTCGGGGGACTAATAAGGAGGACACGGTGACTCCAAAGAGGCCTCGCAAGCGTGGGGCACATGACCCAGTGGAGGCTCTGGCCAAGGGCCTGGGCAGGAAGACCGCGAAAACAGAGACCGGCAGTCCATCTCAACCCAAAGCCGACGTCTCTGTGGTTCCAATGCTTAGAGCAAGCGGCGGAAACTCAGCCGGGAGAGGAAGCCACAAGTTTGTTGGTGGTCACATGTCCATTTCAGGTGTGGCACTGGGATGTCTTGAGTCGGGTTGAACGGATATGTAAATTTGATTCCCTCAAGTACCCATTCGTGTCTAGATTTTTCCGCACTGATGTTGTTTGCACCATAAATTCTTGTCCTTGGTTTTTTTTTAACCAAGGTCTCATTTACAAGGAGCACTATTGTCTCAGCGGGGTGTCACATGGTTGTATAGTTTATTGATTAACTTTGTTTTATCATCACTGGCTCTCACCCAGGTTAAATAAAGTACACGGAACTGAAAACTCATGCCTTGTTAACCCTACCTTGGCCACAGTTGTTTACAAAAGTGATTGTTAATTGCACCCTTTGGAACAAATACTGCACTTGCAGCCATACTTCAGTGGTGTTATGTGTGCAGGCAATTCCACGGCAACGGGGCCCATGAGCCGGAGAGGCCCAGGGGGGGTGGGGGGCGAATTGCAAGGAGACCCAATTTAATTCTGTGCACCAGGGCCCATGCCAACCACACTACGCAACTGCCATATTCGAATGATCAATGATTGTGCTGATCAAAACGACATCAAATAACATTACAAGGGCACGTCAGCCCAGTTATTTTTAATTGTGCGGCAATATGGGGGGGGGGGGGGGGGGGGTTAACGACAGGATAATAAATGCTGCTTCCCGTTGCACCGCGTGTCCGAGGCGGTCTGTGGAAGGCCGTGGAGGAGAGTGCTCAGCTGGGCGCCCGAGCCTTCGGCCTCTTCCTGACGTCGCAGCGGACGTGGCACACGAAACCGCTCGACCCGTGCGACGCCCAGCGCTTCAGGGAGACGTGCAAGCAGCTCGGATTCACGCCGGACCACATCGTCCCGCATGGATCCTACTTGCTCAACTGCGGCTCCCCCAGCACAGGTGCCCCAGTTATCGCCGTCGTCATAATCCCAGATGCCGGATCAATTTATATGCGTGTCTTTGCATGTGCTTGGGAATCAGTGGTGCAGTGTTTGCGCTGTGATCCTGGGTTTGACTCCTGACCATGAGTCATATTACCAGATAATACGAGTGGCATGCAGTGTCTGAACCTGTCCTGGACGACATCTCAATTTATACGTAGTGCACAAACATATTAACATCGGAGGTGCGTATGATTTTCTACGCAGCATACCCGAGTGCATTGTGCCAGCCGTAATTTGTGCTCACTCGCAGCCCTTCATCTGCGTAAGACAGAGGTCGCAAACGGGTTTTGGTTCCTTACCCGTACCTGTACCCGGCCGCACCAGGGTCGCAAATGGGTACCCTACCCGAAATGAGTGACAAACGGTTACTCACCAGTGACTCACGGCCTACCCGTACCCGTACCCGGCCGCACCAGGGTCGCAAACGGGTACCCGTACCCGGCCGGGTACGGGTAGCCGGGTATCGGGTAGGGTACGGGTATCTGGTACCCGATTGCGACCTCTGGCGTAAGGCGAAATAAGTGTGGGGGGGTTCTTTGTCTCCTTGCGTGCACGTGCAGAGACGTTTGAAAAGAGCCGAGCGGCGCTGGTGTCGGAGCTGCAGCGCTGCGAGAAGCTGGGGCTCGTGCTCTACAACTTTCATCCGGGGTCATCGTGCGGCCAGGGCTCCACGGACGCCTGCCTGGAGCGCATCGCCTCCGCCATCAACTATGCGCACGAGCGCACGTGCGGCGTCGTCACCGGTGAGCGCCGCGCCACCGCTTTGCAGCATGAACACGGGGCGACCGAGTTGGGGGAGGTGTTGGTCGATTGCCGGCCCAGTAATCTTGGTAATCGTTCGGTGGCCACGGGTCACCACCAACAGGAGGTTCAGATTTACGAGGGTCTGTATCGATTACATGTTCAGCCAGGTGCTGCTTCAGGAGAATGCTCGACTCGCAATTGGGAAGGTCGTAAGGTCACATCCTGCCCACTCGACCAATAATCGCCACGATGTGATTCTCACTGTTGTAATTTCATTACTGTCACGATCATAATCGTAATCATCTTCAAACGTAATCCATCGGTGATCTCACAGTTATATCACTCGTCGGTCATGTGCCACTTAGCAGCGTTTTTGCCAAGGAGAGACGGCCCAGGGCCACCACCAACAAGAGACGAGCAAAGGCCAACAACGCTCGTTTGATCAGGGAGACACGTTGACTCAACTTTGAGGAGCCAATTAGCTCCTTGTTTGAAGGCGGTGAGTGTGGGGGTGTTTGCCGTGTAAGAGCCCAGTTATCATACGCTAGGCAAACTGTAGTTTGAGTTGAGCGAGGCGGTTGCCTGGATTTGCATTTAAGGACCTGATTATGTCGAGTCCACACGATTGTGTTGAGACGTCGCTGCGCTTTCCGTTCTCTACTCGACCGATCCCTCAATCATCTCCGCCCGACGGAACAGCCGCAATATTTCACTCCAATAAAATTACCCTAATTGGTATAATTGTCTGTTGAAAATATAATTGTCATGGTGAACATTTAATTACGGTGAATCCGTGCGTTGTCTCTGAAATTGTGACCTGCCGCCGCTGTTGATGCTTACCGCTTTCATTCGTAATAAGACCTGCCACTGTAATAATTGGTTTAAAAAAAAATAATTGCAGTTATCGTAATTGGCTGCAGAGACCTATTCAGAAGCTCATTACTCAATGTGCCTGTATTTATGGTTTTATCTTGACTGCACAAGACGTGCCATACTGCCATCTATACTAACCCATCAGCACAGTGGAGAGGATTCCGTTTTAGGAGCTAATTGTGCTAATTGGCCCCATTGAAGCTTATTACTGATTTTGAGCAATGAGTGTGGTTAAGTAAAGCGAGTGGATTTGTGTCATAATTGCTGTGTGGTTTCTGTCGCCCATATTCAGCCGGATGGCACTGCTGTTATTATATCGATAATACCCTTTATCTAGGTTAAGCCTCAGTCTGAATTATTTTTTTTAGCAGGTTTCTAGCATTGGGATCTTTTGGCCAATTATATTAATGAGCATTTGACTTGGTCTGTGAGGAAACTGGAAGTACCTTGGGGAGGGAAAAAAAAGCGAGCATGAGAGGTTAACACTCAAATCCAAACGCAGATTTTAGAGTCCAATCCTCTACTGCCATCTCCTGGCCACAGTGATTGGGGATCCTCGATGAAGGAAGGTTGTGCGGGGGTTGTGGTTCTCAGCGCTATTGGTTTGGTGGGCATTGCAATTTGTTGAGCGACGGAATACAACGACATCTCATGGTCATCGTTGTGCTTGCCATGGTAATTATTTGTGGTTGACGTGCTTGAGTTGCTTGTGCTTGTTTATAAACTTAAATTTTTTGCCACTCAAATGAGCATAAGACGGTGCTCGCTCTGTATACGACCCTGAATTGGTGGTATAAACTCCACAGTTCTTTGGTGGGGGACAAGTATACCCACAGGACAACCACTTTCGATTTCCTATAAAAGTGGTACTCAATGTATTGACCCACAGAGGGATAAAGAGTGGAGTCGAACCACGACAAAGATTTGAGCTCCCGACCTTCCAATTGCGAACCATGCTCTATCCACTGCGGCAGCCCCTCGTTGTTGTTGCCGTTGACCCTGTGGTGGTGGCGACGGTCGTTTCCGACGATGCGGTTTCTGCGGCATTTTGTTGTGGTGGTCACGTCTGCAGTGATAGAGAACATGTGCGGTCAGGGCCACACGGTGGGCGGTCAGTTTGAGGAGCTGCGCGGCATCATCGACCTCGTTGCCGACCAGAGCCGCATCGGCGTCTGCCTCGACACGTGCCACGCCTTCGCCGCAGGTGGGGGGACACACGGGCGGGCTCGGTGGTGTGACTTGCCACGAGCAGAGGACACCGGTTACTCCCGGAAGACGGTCTACAGGTAGCCGGGTGGCTCGGGTGTCAAAACGTCGAGCCACCACTGCTGAGATCCTGGGTTCGAATCTAGGTTTCAGCTGCCCATCATTAAAGCAGGTTCTCAAGTGGAGCTTTTTGATGCTCTCAAATCCTGTGAGCAATGACTGCAAAACAAAACTCACCACGTTATATTTGGTTTTTCACTCAATTTAGCTAGGTCCCGGTTGAAAATAAGAATATACAATATTTGTAGAACATTATAAGGTGTGCCCCACGTAACTAAAGAGACCTATTGTGAAGTAACTTCAGAAATAATTACGTGCGATCTATTGGGCCAGTTATCTCAGATCGTGATGCACGAGCATGATGTAGAGTTCCGAATAAAAGTATGTTCAGAATGAAAATGTTTTTTTCCCGAACTTTGCGTGATACCGAATTCCAAATAAAAATTTGGAAACTGTTTTGTGGTATTGTGTGGGGTCATGCAACACTGTGCATCGTGCAGTATGATGTGCAGTGTGGTGCGTCTCAAGGTGCAGAGTGGTATGGGGTTGCGTGGTACAGTATTGTGTTACGTGGTGTGTGGTATGACGAGCCGGACACTGCACCGTCTTCGTCAGGTTACGACGTCTCGTCGCAGGACGGGGTGCAGCGCACACTGGATGAGTTCCATCGCGTCGTCGGACTCAAGTTCCTCAAGGCCGTGCACCTCAACGACTCCAAGGGTGTGTCATCGCGTCTCGGCGTAGCAACGATTCACCCCTCCAGCGCTCCGATTAATCCTCACAATTTCGGCTCGCAATTGGATTTAACAATCGATTCTTCTGTTTCAATTCCACCATCTCGCTGGAACCGTTTCTTGTTTGTTCCATCTCGTTTGTGTAGTTGTTCACTCCCGACAGTCGAAATATAATGCAAATGTACAATTTGCATGTATCGTGAGTGAAATAATCTATTTTAATCAACGTGTCATTACACGTTGTTACAGGCGTTTGCTGTGGGTCTACGTAATGGTCAGCTGACGGTAGCACATCAAATCCATAATTTGACTGTACTTCTATGCTCTCACGTCTATGCTCCCCACCTTCAATCAATATTTGATCAGCAGGATAAAATAACCTACACATTCCACATGGTGTGGGGAGGCTCTCATCCAGCAGTGGATCCACAAAATGGCTCTACATTATTACATTGTGAGAAGAGTGGTGCTCCCAAAATAGCATGGACTCGAACCCCATTGTGCCCCACTCACTGGGGAGGGCGGGGAGGGCAGGCTGGGGGGCACGCTGACCCCCGTGGGCCCTCGTGTGTTTCCGCGCTGACCCCGTGTGTGTGTGTGCGTCCCACCCCCTGGGTGGCAAAGGGAAGCTGGGCTGCCACCTGGACCGCCATGAGAACGTGGGGCGTGGCCACATCGGCCTGGAAGGCTTCCGCGCCATCATGAACGCGCCGCAGCTCGACCACCTGCCCATGATCCTGGAGACGCCAGGGAGGTGAATGTTCGCTGTGCCCCACTCGCAAGCCAACCCCGACACGAATGTTCTCCACCTGTCGTCCTTGACTGCGAGACATTCGGAATCACTCCGCGTAACGAGATGCACTTTTTTTCAGCCATTTCCTAAAGCAAAGGTTGGAGACTTGTCTAATAGTCCAGTAGGTTTGTGTGTGTGTGTGCGAGACTAGAATTTGTTTTTACTTTTGACACTGGGCACAATTCGGGGGTGCCTCTTACTTTTTTGAGCCTCTAACAGTACAGAGAAAATGTCAACTGTACCATCTGCCATCCCTGACCCCCAGCCTTCCTCACCTTGCCACCCTTGACCGTGATACTGAGCCTCGCCCTAACCTGCACTCTGATCCGTGACCTTAACTCAAATCCTGTTGCTGCCAACACTCCCACCTTTTAGTCCCAAACCCTGTCATCCATGAACCATGCTGTCCTTGACCTGAACAAACCCTGCCACATTTTCCCCTAACCATGACCCTACCGACCTCGACCATAACACCAACCCCAACGCGGCCGTACAATATTAACCCTGACCCTAGCTTTCACCGTGCTGTCATCGATCCACCCCTCCCCCCATTATTCTGAATACGGTCATTTGTATTCAACACCACCCACACCATTCGCTACTAAATTCTGTAATTGGACCCCTGTGTATAAAATGACTGGGAGGCCAGGGGGTGTGACTGTGTCATCCTATCCTATTATAAGCAGCAGCTCCCCCTGCATTGTAATCACGTCGAGTTGGTTTCATGGGTGAAATTGGAAAGCAGCAATTCTGCGTAATTGTTAATGGGTCGGTGAGCCGCTGATGTGAATGAGTGCCGTGGTTGCTTTACCCCCTGGTGCAATCTTCCGCTCCTCCCTCTTGCCTCCCGCTCTTTTCCCAGTCCCTCATTTGGGTACGAAGAGGAGATTGCGCTGCTGTACTCGCTGTGCCGCTAGTGCCACGGCTTGCAGGTGGTGGGCGACCAGGCGGACCCGTAACCTGACAACGACCCTGTGGGCCCCAAAACCTCGTGACCTCGGGCAGGCCAGCCCCTGTGATTTGTGGAATTTCAAGCACAAGATGACTCCCAAAGTGCTCAATGACGTCAACGTTTGAGTCAAACTTCCTTTAAAAAATGCAACCTATCCATGTTTCTCAGATGTGATGCCTTCGATAATCTTACGTTGCTGTACTTGTATGTCTGTACACCAGTGAAGTGTGTTACCTATTTTGACAATAAAGCCCCCTTTCTTAATACCGCTGCAGTGTTTCACGTCCGAAACGTATTTAAGGTGTAAAAGTGCACATGCAGTGCATCGCCTGTAACCATGGTGCATATCGTATCGAGGTATTAACAGGCGGCCTCCGTGATTTCGGGCGATTACCCATAACTCCTCCAGCAGCCCACACATTCACCTGCTGTCGTCCACTCTGATGCTGAGTAACCCGCACGACCGAAAGAAAAACTGCGGGGCAAGGCGAGGTTCTACAGCTTTGACAAAGGAGCCGAAATTGACAGCACCAGAGGTCTGCTGCTCGCCGTGGTGCCTTTTTTGCTGAACGCGTCAAGCTGGAAATGTTTCAGATTGATGGGCCTCGTAGTGTGGAACGCTTGACCGGACAAACTCAATAATAAACACCTTTGAGTTCAACCACTTAAACGAGACCTGAAAACGCATTTATTGTTACAAGAGATGCTGTTAGCATATTTTGTTTCATAACTTACTTTAGATTACAAAAGTAAATCTCTCTGCAATAGAAAGCAACTGCACACTTGCAGGAAAGAAACTCAACAAAACGAGGCACGGCACGAATTACCACGCAACCACTCGGCACGGAGTTGGGCTAGCCGTGGCTCCCGATCCAGCACGGGAGCTCATCCGGACAAATGGTAGTGACCACCAGGCTGCATTAAAAAAACGCAAAAAATAAAAATCTCGTTTGGCAGGATGGGGATTGATCTTGGCGGCGTCACCGCTCGCTGTGCCAATCTGATAATTAAAAACGATGAAAAAGTGCAGGCGTGACGGAGCAGGCATTCGTGCGTGTCGCCGGTTTTGACGGTCATCGCCCTGCACGCCTCGGGCTCTTCGCATGTTTGGGATAACGGACCGTCTCCTCCCCTCAGTGGGTTAAGTTCCAGGTTGCGGAGAAGCACGCTTGGCAGGGAGATCGCTTTGATTGGTGTGCGCTCGAGACTGCCGCAAAGACTGCTCTTTTAGGCAGGAGCAGCTGCTGTGTCAGTGAGTGAATAAAGAAGCCTTCATCACCAATACTTGGCTAATGGGCCTGGCCAGCAGCATTCTGAAGCTGCTTTCCCGCTTTTTTTTTCCCATTAGTTTAAAGTGCAATTAGCAGTTGTCCAAGTTGCCGCTGCCGGTGTGAGCCTCTGGCCTCACTAAAATACCCATCTCTCGTGACACAATTGGAGCAGCAGCTTGGTACGACAGGACAACCAGTTCATCCTTGGGCACGGGTCACCATCCGCCGTGACAACACATTCACACCCGCCGAGAATTGAGAGAGCCAGGGTGGCAGCACCCAGGATGGTGCCAGATGTGCCCCCCCCCCCCCCACCCCTCCTTGGGTGGTGCTGAGGATTCCGTTGGAGTTGCCGGTCTCAAGGCTCATAGCGACGGCAAACCTCCCAGGCAAATACTGACCTGAGCTTCCAACGCGGAGCACACAAATTCACGAGCGTTGGTTTCAGATTTGTGCCTTTGGCGGGCGTGGAAGTAATCGGAACACTGCTTCAAGCAAGCACTGGCTCCGCCTGCTCCCTGCCGGGCACCCCCGGGGTAGGCCCGGGGGTGGTGCCAGGGTGGACGCCATCGTGCCGCTCTGGAGGAGGGGCGAGCTCGGCAAGGGCGTTCAACAAGGCCCCCGGCATGTGGTCCGGAAGCATTCGAGGGCTGATCCGGATTGTTGTGAAGGCCGAGGCGTGGGACCAGTTCACCTGGAACCGGGGTCCGTCCCACGTTCTGTCCCTGGTGGAGCCGGGAGGGGAAAACACACGGTCGCCGTGGACTCAATGTTCGTCGTGAACTCTCAACGCTCGTCGTGTCCTTGCAGTGAAAACAGGCTTTATTTCATTACATGGGCTCCTGCGTCCTTTCAAGTTGCAAGCACGTGATATTCGACACCATTTTAGGTGGGGTACACAGATCAGGCAGATGTCGCCAAGTACTGCGAGGAATCCAACCTGTGCTGGAGTGTTACCCACCAGCAACACTCATGAGTTTTCCCCACGTGCTCTAGCTACCTCTCGTACACTAAAAATAATTTTATACTAGTAGGAACATCCTGGTTACACCAGCCCACAGGGGATTATTGTGTCCGTCCGTCGTCCATCCAAAAATGGGAGGGGTGGGGCTGGGTGGAGAGGGGAGGGTGGGGAAGGGCAGGGTGGGGAGGGGCTGGGTAGGGAGGGAGGGGCTGGGTGGGGGGTGAGAGGGGTGGGGAGGGGCTGGTCACCCCGTGGTGCCCTTATAAAACTCAACGTTTAACCTACTCACGCCGGCTTGTGCCCGCCCTCACAGTCGGGCATATTTGCGGAATACACCATGCCGCTATTGACCCTGGCCATTGACCGAGCAACCCAACGTTCCTACCAGCTCCCTCCGCAGGAATGTGATTATATTTTAGATGCATTAATCACCTAAACAAAACCACTTTTCAAGATAATGCACTGGCCAAACGCCACTTCTAAAAGTTTGGAAACTGGGTAAATGAATGACATTATTACTGAGGCATTGATTTGTGTGCGAGCAAACAACAAAATAAAGGCTGAAGTGCCAAAGATGATTTTGAGTTAAGGGAATGAATGCATCACAGGAAGGGTTGATACGAGCAGTTTTGTTGGCTTATTTGTTATGGTTCGAAGTAGAGCTAGCCTTTGGCTGGATACAGTGGTTAAGGTTATAGGTAGGGACGTCGAGTGTGATTAGGGCTCGGGTAAACACATGGCTGGCTGGCTGGCTCATTTGAGAGGATTAGGGGAGAGCTAATGTCTGATCCACCAATAACAATCTTTGCCTCCACGGCTGTTACCAAGTACGGCCTTTTAACTTCTTGTCGACGGCTGTGCATGACGGCACGTCGCCTGCCGCGTCGTGAGCGATACCTGGCCGGTGTCTTGGTTATGTGCACCACCCTCCCCGGCAGGAAGAGCAGGGGTCGCTGGGTGGCGGCGGCCGCGGCCGTTGGGATCTGTACCGGCGTCGAGTCGAGCGAGCGGTAAGACGCCCGGCGCTCACTCCCTCCGGACAGCAGTGGCTGGGAGGGCCCAGGTGGAGAGTGGCCATCATGAACAGTGGCCTCGCCGTGCGGCGGGGACGTTGGGGACGTAGGCATGTCGTCATCGTCCCCTGCGCACCCCACGCTGCTCCCATGGCAACAGGCGCACAGCAGGATCTTGTACTGCGGGGGGCGAAATACGTTGCGACACCGTGAGATGCGCGGACAGGTGAGACGGTGGCGACGCCAAGGGACACACGGTGGTGGGGGGACACAAAAGTGATGGGTATCCAGGGAGACATGGGACAAGACAGTGGAGAAACAAGGGGGGACACAGATGAAATTCAAGTCGGAGAGGTATAGACGCGCACAGTCGCTGCAAGCTCGGACTAAACGCCATCACTGCAGTGGTAGCAAAATTCCACCTTGGGCTGGTCGCTGGTCAGGATCATGGTGAGGATGTTCTCCTTTAGGTCGTCCATGTTGGCCAGGCTCAGCCTTGGGTAGGTATGGTGGAGGGATGGGAGGGGTGGGGGTCCAAGTGGGTGAGAAGCACAAGACTCTTTGGAATAAATAAAACTTAGCATTTGGATTTTGGGCACAAACTGCACTCCACTCTATGGCTGTATTAGCATGATGTTGAGTGGCTGTGGAGTAGTTTTAAATACAGATTTGGTTACTGCTAATACGGGGTTGTGTTGATGTATGTTGACCTGTAACAAAGCGTTGTATTGCTGCATAGTGCTTTCAACGCAGTGCTGTATCGTTGCCGATGGGTCTTTTAACATGGAGAGCTGTGTCGGATTAATGCGCAGCCTTGTCTGTGTGGGAAATTGCCAGCCTCACCTCGGCACCAGGTCCAAACCAAGCACCACTGAAATGATGAACTGCTGAGCGTGCTTGGACAGAGCCTTGCTGTGCACACAAACACAAAAGGAATATGTATAGGCACAGACATGCTCAGAGTAATACAGTCACTGAAGCACACACAGATACACAAATTCAAGCTGTCTGAGCTGACCCCTGCGAGTGAGACACATTACCCGAGCTGACCTTTGCCAGTGAGACACCTTGACCTGATCTGACCTCTGCAATTGAGACGCCCCTACCTGAGCAGGCCGCCAGGAGGGGAGAACGCGTAGCAGCGCAGCGAGGGGTACGACGGCTTCAGCAGCAGCGCGAGTATGGCGGCCGTGCCAGCGCCCAGGCTGTGCCCCGTCACCACCACACGGTACTCCTGACCCACGCACACACGCAGGTGTTCATGCATGCTGGCATAGATAGTCGAGCACAACGGATAAAGACAAAGATGCCCTGTAAAGCCTACACAGGCTGTTGGGGCAAGTGCCATTAGCGAGCACCTATGAAGGCCGCAAGGACGCAGGAATGGGTGGGGGGTGAGCACCACGCCCGACCGATGATGAGATTTTCTCACCGGTCGATGTGCGGGCGGTCTCCATTGTGTTTTCATGATTTTTAAATCGATTCTCTCCCCCCCACCACCTCACCCAATTGTATTCTGATTGTGCTGTCACCATCACGTCGTGAAGTGACGACCTTTTCATTGTGAGCTCATACAGCTTAGTGGTGTACCGCCCTGTGTCGGAGAATGGCACAAGAAAATGGCACGTGAAGCTTTCCGAAGTCACTTCATTGGGCCCCTTTCATCGCACCAGTGACGCATGCCACCTATACACCCTGTAGAAAGTTTGTTTATTGCATAGCGATCTAAAAGGAAAACCCAAATTCGACAAATGGATTTTGTTAATGTCATTATGGGTAACCACGTGGAGGCCACAAACTCCATATGCTCAAGATCATGGTTTTGTCCTTGGGTGAATTGAAAATGTAAAGCCCACATCTCCAGCGGTGCCAGCTTTGGTGCTGCTCCGACACAATATTACTTCCCCCCCCCCAACCCCCCACCGGCCCCGTGCCACCGTGCCACCTTTGCGAGCAGGTTCTCGATGCAAACCCCATCCCAGCAAACACCCTCAACCAACCACGGGGATACGAGATGAGGCAAGTGGCCGACATTACCGGCACGATGCCCAACGCCCCCACCAGAATCCCGTCGTTCACGAGTCGGCCGTAGACGTAGCGCGCTGCCTGGACCATGCCCTGCACGCGGAGCATCGGAGACGGGAGACAACGGGCTAATTGTGGTTGGCGTGTCATCTTCTTCTTTTCTCTCCCGTCAGCGCGATGGCACCGAATGAACAAAACTAAACAGTTTTTATTTTACCAGGTAAGGCCCACTGAGCTGTATAGCTCTTTGTCAGAAGCGACCTGGTTATCATAAATGATAGTTCAACAAAGTGGCTTCCTGTGTGGAAAATTTATAGCGGCCAAATACTCTGAACAAGCGTTGATTCGAAATGTGGAGGGAAAAACCGGAGGACCCCGGGGAAGGAGAACACGCAAACTCCAAATAATCAGGTGTCAGGGTCGGGATCGAACACATGACCTCCTGCATACCAGGTGAGGCATTTAACATCTCACCACCACGCTACAGCAATTTTACTGGAGCGATTACACCTGATGATGGAGGCTTGTGTTGCGTCTGAAACATCGTGATTTAATTTATTTTTTAAAAAAATTTACCTACGTTTATTTTTCTGGAAAAAAACAAAGAGCAGCAGGGAGACTCGACGCACCTTGTGCGCGAAGCAGTCGCGTGGACTGACGCCTTCCACCTCGAGGTTCTCACAGTCGGCGGTGAGGTCTGTGAGCACGTCCTGTAGCGTCAGAGGTTAGATTAGGGGTGGTGAGGGTGAAGTGGGGACAGATGACGAGAGGTGGGGAGGGGAGAGGAGAGGTAGGCATGGGCGAGTCCATGGAGGATCTTGAAGATGCTGCCGCAGGACTGGATTGGGAGTCGGCAGAGGGATCGGAGCATTGGTGCGACGTGCTTACGTTTACAGTCGTAGAAGAGGAGTCTGGCAATGTTTAGAAACCTTAACTCATGATAAGTTTTATGTTATACAAGTGTTTATGTTCAACAAGTGTTTACCATAATGAGTGCTTATGTTGGGAGTGTTTATGTTTGCGTGGGTGTTTAGGTTTGCGTTTTATGCGCGTTCCACAAGGGGCCATATGCGTGTGTGTGTGCGTCGCAAAAGCACGAGTGAGTGTGTGCATGAGCAAGCAAGCGAGTGAGAGGGAGAGAGACAACCACACATCGCTAAAGCACACACGTACCCGGAGCGACATGGTGCCACGGACGCTCACGACGATGGAGCCGGTGGCGTGGTCCAGGGCCACGTAGAACGGGACCTCATACACCTGCATGGGGACGGGGCCAGGAGCGCACGGAGACCCCCACTCAGACACAAGACCCCTTCCTTCCAACCACAGCCAATCCTCAACACTCCCACGTGCGGCCGTCACTAAGCCGGGAAGTTATCAACATACACGCGGAACATTCAATTCTGTTAATGACAAGCATACGGCCTATTTGTTTTTGTTACTTAAAACATTAATTGTTCGAAATGAACTAAACAAAATAATTTCGATTTAAAGCTTTCATGACTGCAGGGATTCATCTTCTTGGTTCTTTCGGTAAAGTCACGTAGAATTGAAATAATAAAAATAAAACTTAATAAAATAATTCTCACAACGTTTCGGCCACAACGCAAGTAGCTGTCGTCAGGTAGAGAACAGGTCTGTCGAGGAGACAGAGTCACCTGGATTTTAGGTCTCCCCTTGCTCACTGACATCTGGCGACCATGCCAATGCATCGACCGTAAATCCCACTTTTATTTGTGATGTGCTTTTACCTTTCCTATACTTTGCATTCCTGTCGTTATTTTTGGTATTGTTTGTTGTTGTAACTTTATGACCCATTGCCCCTACTGGACATCCGTGAAAAAGAGCTTCATAGCTCATCGGATTCCTCCTCCAGTCGAAATAAAGATTCTGATTAAGAGACAGTTCAGATGAAGAGACACTTCTCGACCTGCTTTTCGGGTGACACTTAGCTTGGCTCCGTGCCTCAACAATCACGGTCATTCATGTCCATGAAATACGAGTTACAAATTGCATCATTACTATCCTTCCCTCCTCCTCCATCCTCTTCACGCCTCCCAATTAATCCTCCGATTGATTATATCTGTGACAAATTCTTGAAATTTCCTTCATAGACTACTCAATTGCTTCATCTATATTATATTAAAACTGAACAAAAAACGATTTTAATTTTACCAGGCAAGGCCCACTGAACTACATAGCTTTTTTTCAGAAGCAACCTGGATATCACAAATGATAGCTCAACGAAGTGGCTTATCATGTGGATATTTATATAAAGCCAAATACTCTAAATGCATGTTTCTAAATGTGGAGAGAAAAACCGGAGGACCTGGAGAAAAATACACATGACCACGGGGAGAACATGCGAACTCCAAATATACAACACAGGCAAGGTAGTTAACATCTTGCCGTGGCCCCCTGAAACATGAAATTGTAACATATTTCCTATTCCCCTGTATTCAATGGGCAGATGCTTCTTATCTGGGGACACCAAGCCACTCATTCAGGCCTGAAACTTGATCCAACAATACTGGTGACTAAAAAAACATAATTTTAGTCACCAGGAGACTTCACGGATCCACCTGCGAGGCGGTCAAATAGATGGCAGTACAGCAAGTGGGTTTCTGCCTCCTCTGTATATTTTGAGTATATCTCTTTCACACGTGCGATGTGTTTTCTTCGGATAGTGTAGTGTCCCTCCCACGTGACGTGCAAAACAACTCCCTGAAAAAAGGAAATGGCCAACATACAAATGCAGGACCCTCCTGAAAACATGTTTTTAGACTCGGCGAGGCTTTGCAAGGTACGTACATGAAGTAAAACTTCGTGTATAACCAAGGTGAGAATTCAAGCGACCGAGATAGTCTCGTGCATGAGTGACCTTGGTCCATTGTGATTGTTGTGATTTGTATGTATGTACGTACGTACGTTGAACTTCTTTCGCACTGAACGTAGCCAGCCGCATAAATCTGAGTGTGCTGGGAAAGGACAGCAAACTAAACACAAAAATCCGTTTTGAGTGCAGGCCACACCCTGTTGTGGTAGGACACGAAAATGAAGTCGCAGTCCTGCAGGTCGGTGGTTCGCCGCATGGCGCGCACGTGGCACGGCGGGGGCTCCCCGCCGATGAGCGCGAAGCCCGAACCCTGGCGGGGGCAGCAGCAGCAGCTGCAGGGAAAGTCAACAACGGCCGATCCTGAGTCGCCAATTCGGCGTAACTGATTCCGAAATGCCAATTCAGCATTGCCGACTTGGTGTCTGCAAATCAGAGTCGCTGAAATGGCATCAATGATCAGTGTCGTTCCAGTTGGCAGCAGTGCAGGTGCTGGGACACACACACACACTCGCATCAAGCACACACACACACACGCCTGCATGCACAAACCAATACATACACCTGGGTACAGACAAATATCCCCCGTATAGCCTTTATAGACAGTTGGGGAAAGCACCTAGGAAGGCTGGCACGGCACCCGAGGGGGTGATTTGCTAGCACCCCCCCGGCCGCCTTTGTCTCCCCAGTGGCGATGTTTACACACAACACCAGGTACTCATTTGAAGCTGAGTCGACCTCGGGGAGGCCCAGGACTGGTTCAAATAATCGTCACTGATGTTGGTTGTGTACAGGAATCGAACCCGGTTCGCTGGGTTCTTAGCACAGCGCGCGCTAACTGCTGCGTCACCTCTCCCCCTGCCAGTACACACACACGCACACACACACACATGCACGCGCACACGCGCACACGTACGCACACACACACGCACACACACGCACACGTGTACCTGCAGGCTGGGCAGAGGTGGCAAAGCCCGGAGAAGGGGTGGCTGTACACGAACAGTGGCCACCCGTACGAGGCAGCAGCGAAGCGCATGTAGTGGGCAGCGAGGGGCAGCTCCTGCGCCAGCTCAGCCACTGGCGCCGCCGTCTCCTGCTCGGCCATCAGCACCCACACGGCAAAGACAAAAGACAAAGATCCCCCCCTGTATAGCCCGAATACACTGTTGGGACAAGTGCTGTGAGCGAACACCTGTGAAGGTCCGGCACGGCACATGAGGGGGTGGGTGGCCAGCACCACGCCCGACCGTCTATGTCTCCCAAGTGGCAACGTTTACATTCCGCACCATATACTCATTTGATGCCGAGTCAAACTAGGGGCGACCCAGATAATCATTACTGGTGTTGGGCGTGAGCAGGAGTCGAACTCGGGCCGCCGGGTTAGTCGCGCAGCATGCTTACCACTGCACTACCGCACTCCACACAGCACACACTCGCATACAGCACACTGAGGGCAGTCAGCACACACCAGCTTTCAGAGTTCTTCCTATTCTCATATTCTGCAATTCCCTTCTCCCAGCCATCAATGCTGTCAACTCCCCTACACCTTATTCCTGTTCTTCCTTTCACCGACTGCATCCTCCCATATATAAATAACTATGCCTGCTGGTTCTGTGCCAACGTATTAAGATACGGATGCAATTAGACGTTACTTGCCCAGCAAAGCCACACCAGAGTCCGAATAATCTTTTTCGGGAGGGACCTGCTACTTTTGGCCAACACCGATTACCACGGTGTGTTTTTAGCGATAATGATGATGATGTTGTTGTATGGGGAATGGTGCCGGTGGCACAGGGGGAACAGCGAGTGGTAGGACGATGGGAGAGGGGGGGGGGCACAGACCGTGCTGGGGGAGGGCGTCCGAGTCTGGACGTTGTGCTGCCGCTCATGGTCGTCGCGCTTCTGTTTCCTGTGCAGCAGCGTGAGCCCCGCCGCCACGTCACTCCCAACAAGATCCGTGTCCTGCACACGCACACCAGGCGAAGACCTCCCATGTAGCCTTGACAGACTTGGGGGCAAGTGCTGTTTGCGAGCACCTATTAAGGCCAGCATGGCGCACGAGGGGATATTGTGGCTAGCGTCACGCTGGGCTGCATTTGTCTCTCCAGCGCTGATGTTTACACGCACCGCACCAGTTACTCGTTTAAGGCTGAGGCGACCTAGAGGAGGCCCAGGGCCAGTTCAGATATTCGCCGTTGATATTGGACATGAGCGGGAATCAAACTGGTGTTGCCAAGTTCGTAGCGCAGTGCGCTAACCACTACACTACCACTTTACAGATACAGGTGTACACACATTTGTGGATGCACACAGACCCGTACGACAAACGTCATTCTCTGTGACAGGGCGGGTGGAATATTGCTGCCCCTAACGTATGGAACAGAGGTCCCTTTGAGGGATTTCAAAGGTAGATCTGTGATATCTGCTTACGTTCACGCTCCTCGAACACAAAGGGTCGCACTACTCAACGATGCTGATAGCGAGATTGGGATAAGATTGTGAAAGTGACAATTGCTTTTAATTAAAAAAAAATATTTTACCAGGTAAGGACCACTGAGCTGTATAGCTCTTTTTTCAGAAGCAATCTGATGACAGGTCACTTCTGTGGCTTATCACGTGTAAATGTGTAGCAGAGAAAAATCAGAGGACCCAGAGCAAAATCCAAGCAAACTTCAAATATACAGGATCGAAGCCACAACCACCTGTATACCAGGCGAGGGCGTTAACATCTTGCTACCATGGCGAGATGTTAAGTAACGCGCACACGTACCGCAAAGAATTCACTTAAGATGCGGGCGACGTCGGTGAAGGCAACGTGGCTCGATTCATCGCGGCGCACACAGCAGCAGAAGAGACGCATGCGGCGCTCCCACACCCCAGTCGCCCTCCCGCTGGGGCCCGCCGTGCCTGCTCCATCCACTACGTCCGCACCCTCCACAGGAGCCACCGAGCGCCGAGATCCCAGGGGGTCAAACGTGATGAGGACGGCCACCACGGTCCCCAGCAGGATCACCCAGCTGGGTTGGCAGAGGAGAGTGAACGAGTGTTCAATCTTGATCTTTCAGAAATAAGAGACTTAAATTTCGATGTCTTTCCTGACAGACCTGTTCTTCACCTGAGGACGACTGCTTGCGTTGTGGCCGAAACGTCGTGAGAATTATTTTATTATGTTTTATAATTATTATTTTATTATTTCCCTTCTATGCGACTTTACCGAAAGAACCAAGAAAATAAGAGACTTGTTTGTATTAAGATCAGTCTCTGTGTATGGTTGAACGGTGTGTCAAATCCATTGGTTGCATGCGAGATACTTAAGAATCTGGACAACAAGCTTAGCAGCTGTCATTATGTATAATGAATCGATCATAACCTCGCCAAAACAAAAAATTACAATGACGGATACCTGACAGAACCGCATCATGGGAGCTCATCCGTGGATATCTCACATAAGGTTCATGTACTGTTTCACTACATCATGATGGAGGAGGAATTATTAAAGCTCACGTAGAATCGTGTGGATGCGAATCAATGTTTTCGATTTAGTATGTGTTGTGTGTGAACCCTGCAAACACAAGAAGGTGCGACATTCACCACAGCCTTAACAAAATTATTGATCATTAAATGTAATTGTGACCATTTCGCAAGAGTTAATTGTATTCTCTCGTTATTTATGTTGTAGTTCTGGAAGGTTTGTCATTTATATTAATATTTCATTTGTCTAGAGCAAGGGTTGGCAACCCACGGCTCTGGAGCCGCATGCGGCTCTAAGGACTGCTCCGTGAAGTTATTTATCAAGGACCCAACGTCTCGTATTCACCACACAGTGCATTGTGGCTCTTGAAATATTGACGTTTTGTTAATGAATTATAAAAAAAAAATGGCTCTTGTTCTTTTAGTTGCCGACCCCTGGTCTCGGGAATGATTGATTTGTTGTACACAACAACAGCATCTCTATATTATTCAACAACTGAGAAACTTTACATTTGTCGTGAGCTTTCAGCACTGCTTTATCACTACACCTCCGAGTGGTTTCTCGGAATTTCAGCCGTTCGACTCATAAACGTCGAAGTTAGATTCCTGTTGGTGGTGCCAAGTTCTTTAAGAGAACATTTCTACTCAAACAACCATTAACTTAATCACTTATGATTTTCCTAATTAGTATTGTCGTGATGAGTATGAAAAGACAATATTATTGCAAGAATTCGTATTTAATCCTTAACACTCATTTTTTTATTCCATGACATTGTGCGTGTGTGCACGCTTAGTCGTGCAAATTAATATTTGTGCACCAATGATTATGTGTAAAATTGCGATCCCTAATCGTGATAATTCATTAAATCGCCAAGTGTGCTCATGTCCATGTCATGTTCTCTCGGATGCTCATGCTCGTGTGGTGGACTAATGCTCGTGTGGTGGACTAATGCTCACGTGTGCCACGTGTGTGCACGTGGACGTGTGGGGATCGCTGGCGTAGCGGTGAGTGCTCTTCACTACGAACTCGGTAACCCGAGTCACGATTCCCGTTCACGGCCGACAACAGTGACGATTATCTAAACCGTTCCTGGGCCTCCCCTAGCTCGACTCAGCCTCAAATGAGTAGTGAAATGTATCAACATCACCACTGGGGAGACAATGGCGGATGGGTATGGTGCTGACCAACCACGCTCTCATGTGCCGTTTCAGCTACTCGCTCAGAGCACTTGCCCCAACAGTATGTTAAACGCTGTACGGGTGATCTTTGTCTTGTGTGTGTGCGCCATACTTGGTGACGACGGTGCCCAGCACAGCGTGCACGACGGGGCGTTCGCAGCCCGGGCTGCCGTCCCACACCCAGTACGTTCCCAGCGCCACCCACACCAGCTCGGGCACGTACAAGAACGCGCGCACGTACACCAGCGCCGGCATGTGGCGCCGCGGGCCGGGCCGGCTGATGGTGCCTGTGCCGCGGGTGACACCACCACCACGTGCATTCATCGGTTTATTCGTGCAGTCGCTTCGGTTGATAACGCGGCAGATCTTTACTCGTGTATTCGCTCGGCGTGTCGCGACACCGCTTAACCGGGACGCTCGTTACATTGACTGATCTGTCTCAAGCAGTCGAAGCCCATTGAGATTCATGAACTATTGATTGAATTACAATGACCAGGCTATTTAGCATTTAGATTCGATGTGTGTATTTGTGTTACTTTATTTAACTGGGGTGAGGGTCCATTTATGTTTATTATCTGTTGACAGATCCACTTTAGCCAGGTGAAAGGCCAATTGGGTTCAATTTCTGTTGAAGCATCATCAGGAGAGGGTGCGTCTGTGGCTCAGTCATTGGCCATTAAATTGTTGAGGTGAGGGCCCATTTAAATCATACCCATGTTCTTTAAGCATGTGAGATACCTTTTAAATAGTACTTGTCCTTTATTCAACCAATGAATCCCACAGAAATGCATTATCGATGTATGCCTCAAGATTAACCAACCATATGGTTAATGATTAACTTTCAATTTTTTTACGACATGAAGGCCCATTGAAATGTACTCCACCGATTTGAACTCTTTAATTTAATATCCTTTACTTAACCAGGTCCCAGACCACCGAGTACTCTCCCCGCCACCCATTCCCTCCGGCTGTTAATAATTCTCATCACGTGGGCTTTTATATCGTGTTGGCAATATTCGGTCATCCAGGGCCAACGGCGGGTGAATTTGGCTTTTTTTCGCACATGACAACTCTCCCAGGGGGGCCACGGCCCCCATCCGTCCCGCTCGACGATCGGCCCTGCCCTGACTCGTCGAACACGACATCCAAGGGCGGTGGTCGTGCCGTCTCTCCGGCGTCGGTGCGGGCGGGTCCACATGCCGCCTGTCACTGACCTAATATACCAAGTGGGAAATAACCACGACCCCCCCCTCTCCGCTCCTCCCCCCCGTTCATGACACTCGATTGCGAAACTCAGGGCTTTACCGTTCCTTACGACAAACGCCACCGGCCCATGCTAAATTTATGCAACACCGAGCGTAGTGGCAACACACACCCCTGTGATCCATCGCTTGAGAGGTGGTGGTTGGTAGACCACTCAGATTATCATCATCCTGTGTGTGAGGCTTTCCCAAAATTCTGGGCTACACCCTTGCCCAGAAATGACAGTAGAGTGAGTAGGTTGCTTCACTTGAAATCTGGAGTTAAAAATCATGGATTATTTCGACATTGATTTTGCAACGCACGTGTGATACAGCAATGGGAAGCCTCAATGGTAGGTTGTGGGGAGGCAAGTTAAAAAGAACATGAAGGAAACTACAATATGAAATAAAAAATCCTGTACAATTGCATATAAAACATGAATAATCATATAAAAATGACCATATTCATTGAAATTACAAGGACCGATGATATGACAATTATTTAAACAGTTCTTAAAATCCCATGTTACAATTACAGCCATAAAATAATTCGCATAAAATTCTACAATTAATGGATACAGCCATGACGCAGCAGTTGGCGCATTGGCGCTGTGAACGCGGCGGTCTGAGTTTAAGTGCTGGCCAGGGCCTGCATCAGTGGCGATTGACGTAAACCGGTCCTGGTCTCCCAATGACCAAACAGCACCCATTTACTGACACGTGATAAGAGGCCTTCATCCAGCAGTGGATTGTCAAGTTGGGAGGCCTTCGTCCAGCAGTGGATTGTCAATCATCTTCACTGACCTGCTTCCGATCCTCCCTTAAAACCCATCTCTTCTCCTTAGCCCATCTTACTCCTGCTACTTCTCCCTGCCCCAACCCCCAGCAGCGATCAGGCCTACCCCAATCCCTCCTTAACCACCCCTGCCTATCCTCCTGTTACAACAACCACACGACCACTTTTAATAACAACCCCACTATTTATCTCAACCACTCTCATCTTACGGACAATTTTATAATTGTCGTAAAGCGCCTCGCAATAAAGACGCTGATAGAAAAATCTTCATAAGATAATAAAGGACTAAATTTCGATTTAAAGCTTTCGTGACTGCAGGGATTCATCTTCTTAGTTCTTTCGGTAAAGTCACGTAGAAGGGAAGTAATACAATAATAAAAATAAAACATATTTTATTTTATTATGTTTTATTTTTATTATTTTATTACTTCCCTTCTACGTGACTTTACCGAAAGAACTAAGAAGAAAAATAAAGGACTAATTCAGATTTTAAGAGATAACAAACTGCATCATCCTGCGATGTCAACCAGCTGCATTTGGATACGACACAAACCCCGACTATATTGTGCACCTATCGCTTGCCAGCCACCACTTCAGGTGCGGCTGGCGGATGCGAGTGACTGAGACACGTTGCGACAGACGGGAAGGCCGCTCCGTTACAGGTGGTGGGCGAGGATTGGGCAATGCGTTATTTTTGGTGCTTGCTAGTTTTCGCAGCAGTCGTTTGGGTTTCATGACTGAGTGGAGTTTGTACTAAGTGGAGCGTTTGGAAGACGCACATCTAAATGTCATGGCATATTAGCCGTGGCCCAAAATCGCTATTAATGAACATAATCCTCAATGGAATTAATGGAAACTAATATGGCTAAAATGTAATGATTTTTTTGTATTTGATGACAAATTGCTACACTCAAAATACAGAACTCAAATCACAATAATTGCTAATGATTTTTTACAATTAATATGCTTACACCACTATGCTTTAGAGTCATAATATACTGTAGACGGTATATGCACCATAATGGCAAACGAGTTGATTTCCGAGTTGAGTCGTGAATTTGGATTGTGGAAATTTCCATAAAAAGCTAATATTCCAAATTATGATTGGAATATTCTTGGTTCTTTCGGTAAAGTCAAATAGATAGAAGAAAATAATAATAAAATTAATTACAATTCAAAATAAAAGCAAAAAAAACACGACGTTTCTTTCGCAACACAATCGGTCTTCATCAGGCGGAGAGAAAAGGGGCGGGCAAGCCTCCAAATGCAACTGCTTATAAGGGCTTTCAGAGTGAGCAAAGCTGTGCGGCATAAACAGCATGGGCGGGGCAGCCAGCGCCAATGTAGGAGCAAAGCACCACAAGTCTAAGTAGTACAAATAAAGCGAGTGTGTTAGACAATGGGGGGAGGGAGAGGGAGGGTAGAGATAGAGGTGGAGCTGAAGGCGAGGGGCGCAGTCCAAGTGTGTTAGACAGTGGGGGAGGAAGAGGGTCGAGATAGGGGGAGAGAGGGGGGTAGAGATAAGGGAAGAGAGGGAGTTGAAATGGGGGGGGGGCATTGCACTTCGCTACACCCATCCACACTGCTGACGGTAGAGGTTGACAAGAAAACACAAATCAAGTCAATGATTCGAATATATTACTTCTTTTTCATCACATTTTCACCATCTCATTTGTGTTGTTTCTCATGTTTACAATTATGCTCACGATATTAGCATATACGTCAACGTAACAAAGCACATGCAAATCATATTTGCATTTCTCTTGCAAATTATTTTCCCAAATCACAACATATTCTCGCACGTGACTCGTTTCGTATGTGCGTGCGTGCATCGTGAACGCAACAATCGCTCTTTTCATCTGTGAATCAACGCATCGCCACGAGCCAAGCCGTGGAGCCATGCCGCTCACCCTGCATGCTCAGTGCCACGATGGAGGCCAGGGTGGCGAGGGTGGCGCACAGCAGCGCCAGCACACCGATGAGGTAGATGCACAGCAGGGGCCCGCCGGGGCACTCGAGATGCCCGCTGTGCGCCGACAGCAGAGCGGCCGCCACCGATAACCTGCACGGGCGACATCAACATCGCCACCGGTCACTACCGCAGTTGTTCTTCACCAATAAGACATCATCAGTGTGAGAGCCGCCACACTGCCCTGCAAGGGCTGTTATCTCATTTGTGTACTGTCGGGGGCCGCATGAAAGGCCACCGGGGGCCGCCCCAGCGGCCCGCGTGCCTTGCAATGAAGAACAACACTGCACTACCGTCATCACCATCGCGACCACCGTTATTATGGATACTGTCACGACCCACCATGTACCATCGCCCAGATACAAGTGTAGCCACCACCGCCAACTCGTATTGGGCGACATCACCATCACTGCCATCGATTGGCAATGTGATTACTACCATCATCACGCCAATCAGGGAGAAGGGTGACTCTCACTGCCAAGCCAGCGCAGGGTGAGACATCACCGATCGCACACAATCACGATCACCACTGTGGACGTCACAGACACTATCATCACCACCATCACCAACAATGTCATCACTCCCATCACTCGTTTTTTGAGACAATGCCGACTTGCGTCGGTCAATACACGATTTGACATTCTCCTGCTTGGTTAATGATTAGCTTGTCAAACAGACAATCGAATTGACCACTGGACCAATGTTTATGGATTTATTTTGACCCCATCGTGACCCCGCCGTCAGACCGTGTAACCGCTTTAGACCACTGTGGCCAGTTGTGTACAACCACTTTAGGGGAGTTAAGTTCGTTTATGCAACCAACCACAGTGCTTTTTGCCAATCCACTGCTCAATGCGGGGCCTCCACACGCCGTGCGCGGCTTCTGGGAATTTTGGTGCCCATACTTCACCACCATGAAGATGCGGATCTTTTATTTATATAGCGCTTTTAGGGGCCGTCCATAAATGACGTCACGCACCTAGGGGGGGTCGTACATTTGTGACGACACGTTCTACTTAATTCATTAGACTTTTTAACAACTGTTTTCTCCTACAACATCAGAGTGCAGCGCCACATTAAATACGCACCTACAATGACAATAGTTTAAAGCGCTTTGAAGCATGTTTTATTTTGGGGGGGGGGGGGGCAGTGCTTTGTGACGTCATATTTGAGGGGGGAGGGTGGAGGGTCTGACTTTTTGTGATGCCATGTGACTGGGGGGGGGGGGTATCAAAAATCGTCAAAATCGCATAATATTGGTCGCGTAATATTGGTCGCGAAAGCCGACGTGTTAAACATACTTAACCACGCTGGTAAGTAGCCAGGACGGGTTGTGGGTGCTTAGAAGTACAGTACAACAATTAACTACACACTGCGTTGCAACAACAACAACAAGTCCACAGCAGCTGTTATGCTGCTTGGCGGTCACCCATCCAAAGCACCGTCCTAGGCTCGCTCCGATTAGCTTGCGGGATCGGGGCGCATTCTGGCCCATTGTAGATCGTGAGCAGTAAACCCATAAATCCCTTAGGAGCCCAGAGTGGCTGAGGGGGACACAGAAGGACCCCTTAGAACCCACGGCTGCAGACCACCCCGACACATCCCACCGTCCCCACCGCCTGCGTTCCCCTCTCCCTCCCCCGCCCAGTGACCCCGGCTCACCACGCGGCACGGAGCACGAACTCCACAGCTGTCGGCGGTCCCAGGTCATCGCTCGCAATCCCCCAGCGACGCCCGAATACCACGAGGCCCGGCATCTTCCGAAGGGCGCGAAGAACACGGAGCAGAACCGCGATTTAACCCCAAACGCCGAGACGCCCAGAAAAACTCTTCACAAACCGGGCTGGGTCCAACGCGGCACGGACCCCCGTGGGGGCAGCTCTACTGCCCCTTGCGCCGCCTCCCCCACCCGGCCACTCCTTCTTCTGCGCCTCCTCTGCAACCTCCTCGGGCGGCCGCGACCCCCTCTGGCCGGACGCGAACCCGGCGGGACGCGCAAAGCGGCGGCGTCCAAACGCCCCGGCAACTCGCGAACACTGAGAGACATCGCGTCACTTCCGGTGTGCGGTGAGGGGGAGGAGCTACTCTGATGATGACGATGATGATGACGCCGCCCCCGGAAGGCGTGGTTTCACTCGCCTTCTGTGATTGGATGATTCGTTCATAAAGCCATGCGGCCCTCCCCCCCCAACACAATCCCCTCTCTCATAACTACCCCCCCCCCCTAGAACTACCCCCCACAACTACCCCCCCCACATTACCCCTCCCCACAACTACCCCCCCCCCCACAACAACCCCACAACTACCCACCCCCACAACTACCCCCCCCCCCCTAGGACTACTCCCCACAACTACAAACCCACAATTACCCCTCCCCACAACTACCCCCCCCCCACAACAACCCCACAACTACCCACCCCCACAACTACCCTCCCCCCCCCTAGAACTACTCCCCACAACTACAAACCCACAATTACCCCTCCCCACAACGACCCCCCGACAACACCCCCCCCCCCCCCCCCACAACAACCCCCCCACACCAACTCCCCCACAACTACCCCCCACAGCTACCCACCCACTACCCACCCCCCACAACCCCCCTTACAACTACCCCCCACAACCCCCACCCCAAAACTACCCCCCCCCCCACAACTCCCCCACAACTACCCCCCACGGCTACCCACCCACTACCCACCCCCACAACCCCCCCTACAACTACCCCCCCACAACCCCCACCCCAAAACTACCCCCCCCCCCACAACTCCCCCACAGCTACCCCCCCACGGCTACCCACCCACTACCCACCCCCCACAACCCCCCTTACACAACTACCCCCCCCCCCACAACTACCCCCCCCCACACGACTACCCCTCCCCACAAACTACCCCTTCCTCACAACTACCCCCCACAACCCCCCCACACCCCCCCCCCCCCCCCCCACCATGTGGGGGGACGGCCTCTCACCCAGATCGATACAGTATTTTGTGTTGGCTGATGGTTCGACAGGTGGCGCTGTAATGCGATGCAAATCGTACACCCGACGGCATCACCCATCGGAGATTTTGCCCCACATGTGGAATATATGCTCTTAATCGCTGTGTCGATTCATTCGATTATTTTGCTGCTATAAAATGTCCAAATAATAAGCCACCTCGTTGAGCTATCAAATTGCAATAACTGTCAGAAAAATCGCAATTAGATATTTTCCCAAATATTTAATTGCTCTAAGCAAGACGCATAACTTAATTGAGTATTGCCCCTTTAATTATTGTTATTAATAATTTTACTGTGAGACTGTCTTCCTCTAAACTCAATACACGGTGCAACTGAAACATATTGTATAGTTATAGCCTACATATTATTTTATACGGGTTTAAAACATCTGTAGATCCATCAACATCAGCATCACGATCCATGCATGGGCAGCTAGCCACTGCACATTTCGTCGTTTGTTTCTACTTTCCTCTGGCTAATGTAGATGCAGAGCATCAACTACAATTTCACATTCAGGTAGGTGGTCAAGCCAGATAACCGCGTCAGGAACAGAATCAGAATATGTATTTATAATGAAGGAATCCGATTAGCTATAAATTCACATGTCCGGTAGGAGTGGGTCAGAAAGTTACAACCACAAATACAAAAACACAATAGGAGTGCCAAGTATAGGAAAGGTAAACACGTAACTTTTTAAAATATGCTATTAGCTCACTCGTCTATCTATTCAGTATTGTGCTCAAGCTTGGTCCCGGGAGATTTGGACACAAAGCTGCTAGATGCACAGTTAATACTGATAGGAACCTCCTGGTTACACCAGCCCACAAGGGATTATTGTGTCCGTCCGTCCATCATGCAGGGAGGGGCTGGGTGGGGAGGGAGGGGCTGGGTGGGGAGGGGAGGGTGGGGCGGGGTGGGGAGGGTGGGGCTGGGTGGGGAGGGTGGGGAGGGGCTGGGTAGGGAGGGTGGGGCTAGGTGGGGGGTGGGAGGGTTGGGGCTGGGTGGGGTGGGGCTGGTCACCCCGTGACTCACAGTCTGCCATATTTGCCGTTGACCCTGGCCATTGACCGAGCAACCCAACGTTCCTACCAGCTGCCTCCGCAGGAATATGTTTACCGTGACGCAACACTATACGTATATCCAGAACCCTGAAACCGATATCAGTGCCCCTTGCCAGTGGCGTAACTCCATTATCAGCTCAGGGGGTGTGGCAATCGGTCAGGTGGGGCCCCAATATTTGATTGGTCTCGCATGGTCGCACCTAGGCTACACATCGCGGCTCCTCTTGCCTAATCACACCATTAAGGATTTTCGTAAGATAAAGTTAAACAACGTTTTCTTTTACACTTTTGAAAACATATCTCATTGTGATTGTCAAGTTTGTCCCAACTCGCCGCTCTGGCCACCAGGGGGGACCAAGGCACCCCCACGCTCGTGACGCCACTGCCTGTTCTTGTGAACATTTCGCCACCAAATATCTGCAGAGACATCGCGCATGCTGCAAGGGAGATTTTTCCATGTTGGTTTCTTGCCAACGTCAACCAACATCAACAGAGAACTCAACAATGTACCTCGCCACCACCAACTCAAGTCCCGACCCCACCTCTGTGATCGTGCTGCTGCTGTCACCGTCCTAGAACCTCACCCAGATCCGGAGGAACGCCGGCGAACAAAGCAGAATAAACACAGGCGTCCAAAATGAGCCTCATTTGAGACCCAAACATCACGCCTCCTGGCTTTTGACATTCCTCGAAGACGCTGGTAAAACCTTGAACAGCATGAGAAAAGTCCGATGCGCACATCTCCTTTATAGATTTTAAATTACAGAGAAGCCACGGTGCAAACGATGAACCATATGAGAATCAGAAGTGATTTTCCCACCGAGTAAAGCCTTTGAGCTAAGAAGCTCTTTTTTTAGGGTGACTCGACCAGCAGACAACATCAAATCATTCCACAATTACAGATTTAAAAAAACAAATATCGTAAACAACTGGGATTTGCACTCCTTCAAGCGAGGAGCTTAACATCGGAATGTAGCTCCTGAGCATACAGTACAGTACTACTATTGCTATACACAAAAACATAATTAAATTATCTGGTGATGTTCCGTTAGCAGTGGTGCACAAATGTAACATCGCCTAATGGTTAACACAATGTAATAAAACATGCATACTGTTTACTTTCACTCGCATACTTCCTCTTATTCTACAGCTTCATATAGAGCTCTAACAACCCAGACACTCCCTCTCCTCTCCAGTCTTAACCGAACTCAAAGTGTCATTTTACCCATTTTTATATCTACTCTGCTACTCCCTTAATTGCCCCAACCGACAGCCTCGCGGCTGTCCATCAACTGCCCCAACTGACAGCCTCATGGCTGTCCATCAACTGCCCCAACCGACAGCCTCATGGCTGTCCATCAACTGCCCCAACCGACAGCCTCGTGGCTGTCCATCAACTGCCCCAACCGACAGCCTCGTGGCTGTCCGTCAACTGCCCCAACCGACAGCCTCGTGGCTGTCCATCAACTGCCCAAACCGACAGCCTCGTGGCTGTCCGTCAACTGCCCCAACCGACAGCCTCGTGGCTGTCCGTCAATTGTCCCAACCGACAGCCTCGTGGCTGTCCGTCAACTGCCCCAACCGACAGCCTCGTGGCTGTCCGTCAACTGCCTCAACCGACAGCCTCGTGGCTGTCCGTCCACTGCCTCAACCAATAGCCTCGTGGCTGTCCGTCAATTGTCCCAACCGACAGCCTCGTGGCTGTCCGTCAACTGCCTCAACCGATAGCCTCGTGGCTGTCCGTCAATTGTCCCAACCGACAGCCTCGTGGCTGTCCGTTAACTGCCCCAACCGACAGCCTCGTGGCTGTCCATCAACTGTCTCAACCGACAGCCTCGTGGCTGTCCGTCAACTGTCCCAACCGACAGCCTCGTGGCTGTCTGTCAACTGTCCCAACCGACAGCCTCGTGGCTGTCCGTCAACTGCCCCAACCGACAGCCTCGTGGCTGTCCATCAACTGCCATAACCGACAGCCTCGTGGCTGTCCGTCAACTGCCCCAACCGACAGCCTCGTGGCTGTCCATCAACTGCCATAACCGACAGCCTCGTGGCTGTCCATCAACTGCCCCAACCGACAGCCTCGTGGCTGTCCATCAACTGCCATAACCGACAGCCTCATGGTTGTCCGTCAACTGCCTCAACCGACAGCCTCGTGGCTGTCCATCAACTGCCCCAACCGACAGCCTCGTGGCTGTCCGTCAACTGCCCCAACCGACAGCCTCGTGGCTGTCCGTCAACTGCCTCAACCGACAGCCTCGTGGCTGTCCATCAACTGCCCCAACCGACAGCCTCGTGGCTGTCCGTCAACTGCCTCAACCGACAGCCTCGTGGCTGTCCGTCAACTGCCCCAACCGACAGCCTCGTGGCTGTCCGTCAACTGCCCCGGCCGACAGCCTCGTGGCTGTCTGCCGATCACACCCCACGTCACACCCACGAGCTGTAGGGGCGGGGCTCTGTCCACTCAGTGGTGTATTAACGTTCACATTCAGGACCATGAGTCCGGGAGTCCCATCGCTGTAACTCCCCGTTATGGTGTCACATCCTTCATTCCTTTATCATAAAGCCTCTCAATTCCTTTATACTAGTGGCGTAACTCCATTATCAGCTCAGGGGGATGCCGCAATCGTTCAGGTGGGGCCGCCATATTTGATGTCTTCCATGGTGGTGGTTTAGGGAGCCCCAACTCGTAGCTTTGACCACAAGGCGGGGTGGGGGGGACAAAGACACTGCTGCCCCTACGCTAGTCACGCCACTGATTTATACATACGAATTATATTTCACTACACAAGCAAAAATAATAAAACACATTTAAAATATATATCATATGCGACGTTTCGGGAAATGGCCCTTCTTCATCCCACATAGAGAGGTCAGAGAAGAATAAAATCCTGATGAACAGCTTATAAATTGGCAATTAAAA